AGGACGGGGCGCGTCAAAAGTACCCCAAGGCTTCGTCTGATCGCCAAAATAATGGTCGCAATCGATTCCTCGGGTCAATATCTAACCTCAGTCGAAGGTTCCAGACCTGTGGCTCCTATCCCTCATCCCTTAATCGTCCCTTAAAGGACGGGGCGCGTCAAAAGTGCCCCAAGGCTTCGTCTGATCGCCAAAATAATGGTCGCAATCGATTCCTCGGGTCAATATCTAACCTCAGTCGAAGGTTCCAGACCTGTGGCTCCTATCCCTCATCCCTTAATCGTCCCTTAAAGGACGGGGCGCGTCAAAAGTGCCCCAAGGCTTCGTCTGATCGCCAAAATAAGGGTCGCAATCGATTCCTCGGGTCAATATCTAACCTCAGTCGAAGGTTCCAGACCTGTGGCTCATATTCCTCATCCCTTAATCGTCCCTTAAAGGACGGGGCGCGTCAAAAGTGCCCCAAGGCTTCGTCTGATCGCCAAAATAATGGTCGCAATCGATTCCTCGTGTCAATATCTAACCTCAGTCGAAGGTTCCAGACCTGTGGCTCCTATCCCTCATCCCTTAATCGTCCCTTAAAGGACGGGGCGCGTCAAAAGTGCCCCAAGGCTTCGTCTGATCGCCAAAATAATGGTCGCAATCGATTCCTCGGGTCAATATCTAACCTCAGTCGAAGGTTCCAGACCTGTGGCTCCTATCCCTCATCCCTTAATCGTCCCTTAAAGGACGGGGCGCGTCAAAAGTGTCCCAAGGCTTCGTCTGATCGCCAAAATAATGGTCGCAATCGATTCCTCGGGTCAATATCTAACCTCAGTCGAAGGTTCCAGACCTGTGGCTCCTATCCCTCATCCCTTAATCATCCCTTAAAGAACGGGGCGCGTCAAAAGTGCCCCAAGGCTTCGTCTGATCGCCAAAATAATGAACGCAATCGATTCCTCGGGTCAATATCTAACCTCAGTCGAAGGTTCCAGACCTGTGGCTCCTATCCCTCATCCCTTAATCGTCCCTTAAAGGACGGGGCGCGTCAAAAGTGCCCCAAGGCTTCGTCTGATCACCAAAATAGGGGTCGCAATCGATTCCTCGGGTCAATATCTAACCTCAGTCGAAGGTTCCAGACCTGTGGCTCATATCCCTCATCCCTTAATCGTCCCTTAAAGGACAGGGCGCGTCAAAAGTGCCCCAAGGCTTCGTCTGATCGCCAAAATAATGGTCGCAATCGATTCCTCGGGTCAATATCTAACCTCAGTCGAAGGTTCCAGACCTGTGGCCCCTATCCCTCATCCCTTAATCGTCCCTTAAAGGACGGGGCGCGTCAAAAGTGCCCCAAGGCTTCGTCTGATCGCCAAAATAATGGTCGCAATCGATTCCTCGGGTCAATATCTAACCTCAGTCGAAGGTTCCAGACCTGTGGCTCCTATCCCTCATCCCTTAATCGTCCCTTAAAGGACGGGGCGCGTCAAAAGTGCCCCAAGGCTTCGTCTGATCGCCAAAATAAGGGTCGCAATCGATTCCTCGGGTCAATATCTAACCTCAGTCGAAGGTTCCAGACCTGTGGCTCATATCCCTCATCCCTTAATCGTCCCTTAAAGGACGGGGCGCGTCAAAAGTGCCCCAAGGCTTCGTCTGATCGCCAAAATAATGGTCGCAATCGATTCCTCGGGTCAATATCTAACCTCAGTCGAAGGTTCCAGACCTGTGGCTCCTATCCCTCATCCCTTAATCGTCCCTTAAAGGACGGGGCGCGTCAAAAGTACCCCAAGGCTTCGTCTGATCGCCAAAATAAGGGTCGCAATCGATTCCTCGGGTCAATATCTAACCTCAGTCGAAGGTTCCAAACCTGTGGCTCCTATCCCTCATCCCTTAATCGTCCCTTAAAGGACGGGGCGCGTCAAAAGTGCCCCAAGGCTTCGTCTGATCGCCAAAATAATGGTCGCAATCGATTCCTCGGGTCAATATCTAACCTCAGTCGAAGGTTCCAGACCTGTGGCTCCTATCCCTCATCCCTTAATCGTCCCTTAAAGGACGGGCGCGTCAAAAGTGCCCCAAGGCTTCGTCTGATCGCCAAAATAAGGGTCGCAATCGATTCCTCGGGTCAATATCTAACCTCAGTCGAAGGTTCCAGACCTGTGGCTCCTATCCCTCATCCCTTAATCGTCCCTTAAAGGACGGGGCGCGTCAAAAGTGCCCCAAGGCTTCGTCTGATCGACAAAATAATGGTCGCAATCGATTCCTCGGGTCATTATCTAACCTCAGTCGAAGGTTCCAGACCTGTGGCTCCTATCCCTCATCCCTTAATCGTCCCTTAAAGGACGGGGCGCGTCAAAAGTGCCCCAAGGCTTCGTCTGATCGCCAAAATAATGGTCGCAATCGATTCCTCGGGTCAATATCTAACCTCAGTCGAAGGTTCCAGACCTGTGGCTCCTATCCCTCATCCCTTAATCGTCCCTTAAAGGACGGGGCGCGTCAAAAGTGCCCCAAGGCTTCGTCTGATCGCCAAAATAAGGGTCGCAATCGATTCCTCGGGTCAATATCTAACCTCAGTCGAAGGTTCCAGACCTGTGGCTCCTATCCCTCATCCCTTAATCGTCCCTTAAAGGACGGGGCGCGTCAAAAGTACCCCAAGGCTTCGTCTGATCGCCAAAATAATGGTCGCAATCGATTCCTCGGGTCAATATCTAACCTCAGTCGAAGGTTCCAGACCTGTGGCTCCTATCCCTCATCCCTTAATCGTCCCTTAAAGGACGGGGCGCGTCAAAAGTGCCCCAAGGCTTCGTCTGATCGCCAAAATAATGGTCGCAATCGATTCCTCGGGTCAATATCTAATCTCAGTCGAAGGTTCCAGACCTGTGGCTCCTATCCCTCATCCCTTAATCGTCCCTTAAAGGACGGGGCGCGTCAAAAGTGCCCCAAGGCTTCGTCTGATCGCCAAAATAAGGGTCGCAATCGATTCCTCGGGTCAATATCTAACCTCAGTCGAAGGTTCCAGACCTGTGGCTCATATCCCTCATCCCTTAATCGTCCCTTAAAGGACGGGGCGCGTCAAAAGTGCCCCAAGGCTTCGTCTGATCGCCAAAATAATGGTCGCAATCGATTCCTCGGGTCAATATCTAACCTCAGTCGAAGGTTCCAGACCTGTGGCTCCTATCCCTCATCCCTTAATCGTCCCTTAAAGGACGGGGCGCGTCAAAAGTGCCCCAAGGCTTCGTCTGATCGCCAAAATAAGGGTCGCAATCGATTCCTCGGGTCAATATCTAACCTCAGTCGAAGGTTCCCAACCTGTGGCTCCTATCCCTCATCCCTTAATCGTCCCTTAAAGGACGGGGCGCGTCAAAAGTGCCCCAAGGCTTCGTCTGATCGCCAAAATAATGGTCGCAATCGATTCCTCGGGTCAATATCTAACCTCAGTCGAAGGTTCCAGACCTGTGGCTCCTATCCCTCATCCCTAAATCGTCCCTTAAAGGACGGGGCGCGTCAAAAGTGCCCCAAGGCTTCGTCTGATCGACAAAATAATGGTCGCAATCGATTCCTCGGGTCATTATCTAACCTCAGTCGAAGGTTCCAGACCTGTGGCTCCTATCCCTCATCCCTTAATCGTCCCTTAAAGGACGGGGCGCGTCAAAAGTGCCCCAAGGCTTCGTCTGATCGCCAAAAAAGTGCCCCAAGGCGATCAGACGAAGCCTTGGGGCACTTTTGACGCGCCCCGTCCTTTAAGGGACGATTAAGGGATGAGGGATAGGAGCCACAGGTCTGGAACCTTCGACTGAGGTTGGATATTGACCCGAGGAATCGATTGCGACCATTATTTTGGCGATCAGACGAAGCCTTGGGGCACTTTTGACGCGCCCCGTCCTTTAAGGGACGATTAAGGGATGAGGGATAGGAGCCACAGGTCTGGAACCTTCGACTGAGGTTGGATATTGACCCGAGGAATCGATTGCGACCATTATTTTGGCGATCAGACGAAGCCTTGGGGCACTTTTGACGCGCCCCGTCCTTTAAGGGACGATTAAGGGATGAGGGATAGGAGCCACAGGTCTGGAACCTTCGACTGAGGTTAGATATTGACCCGAGGAATCGATTGCGACCCTTATTTTGGCGATCACACGAAGCCTTGGGGCACTTTTGACGCGCCCCGTCCTTTAAGGGACGATTAAGGGATGAGGGATAGGAGCCACAGGTCTGGAACCTTCGACTGAGGTTAGATATTGACCCGAGGAATCGATTGCGACCATTATTTTGGCGATCAGACGAAGCCTTGGGGCACTTTTGACGCGCCCCGTCCTTTAAGGGACGATTAAGGGATGAGGGATAGGAGCCACAGGTCTGGTACCTTCGACTGAGGTTAGATATTGACCCGAGGAATCGATTGCGACCATTATTTTGGCGATCAGACGAAGCCTTGGGGCACTTTTGACGCGCCCCGTCCTTTAAGGGACGATTAAGGGATGAGGGATAGGAGCCACAGGTCTGGAACCTTCGACTGAGGTTAGATATTGACCCGAGGAATCGATTGCGACCATTATTTTGGCGATCAGACGAAGCCTTGGGGCACTTTTGACGCGCCCCGTCCTTTAAGGGACGATTAAGGGATGAAGGAAGGGAGCTAGGGCAAAATAAATGTCATATTCGTGTTCCCCGTCCCGCAATTGACCTAATGGCACTTTATGAAGCGATTCTGAATCCGACGCTGTATTCGTTGCTGTTGCTGACGCTAGCTTCACGGACATTAAAGTTTTTGAGGAGCTCAGGAATTTGGACCAAGCGTTTTACTGCAAATGACGTAATTATTTATAACCTTACTTTTATTGCATCGATTTCTTTGAGTTGTACCACAACACCCCAATAATTATAATAAATAATAAATTTTAAATGAAAAACTATCCATATTTGGTATATAAAACAAACAAAATTAAATTGACACAATTTTTGAAAATGTCCAATCGTCTGAAACCATGCGGAGGCAATCGCGACTTATTTGGGTTATTGATCACTACAAACAAAATTCGAATTTCATTTCAATTTGATTTTGGTTTGGATTCCAATTCGGTTTGAATTTCGAGCGCGTGTTTCTCGTGGTAGTTTTGCAGTTTTGTGCATTTTCTTATGTGCAATTAGTGCCCTGATGTGCAAGATGGTGGATAAATGGAACAATGAAGTGAATGTAATTCAAATTGCTTAGGTGGGTATGTTGATGTTTGCACTTTGCACCATTTCAATTTGTTAACTGTTGGCAAAGAAATAAAAACAACTCAAAATAAGCAAGAAATGGAGCGGACTCATAGCTAAATTGGACCCATCTTATTTATCCCTGTGAAATGCTAATATGTGTCAAGATTGTGTTTGATCATTAATCGTTAGTCTTAAAGCAGGTGTCACACTTCAACTTGTTTTTTGCAACCAAGGAGAGGTGCTATAGGTACACAGAGATGCTTTCTTATCAAACCAACCCAAACCTAACCGAGCCTGATGGTTTATCTAGCCTTGACCTGACCTAACCTTACCTACCACCTACAAAACCTGCCACCTAGGTACCACCTAAAACTTAAACCTACCAGCCAACATCTAAAACCTACAATCCAACCTAAAGTGCCTCTCCTTGGTTGCAAAAACAAGTGTGATGCCTGTTTAACTTATACCCATTAATCAATATAATTCAGTAGGTACATTCTTACTAATGACAATTACTGATGTCTGGCAATGTAGTGAGGTAGGTACAGCCCACCGCTAAAGTAATGTAGGGTTTTACCAATCTCAATGGTTGGCTTTGACTGGCGATTGTTTAATGCGGAGTGATCGAAAAGAAGATGTCAATAGCTAAAGTTGCAGCTGCAAGGGTGACGATACATATAAGCTACATTCAAAGTTTCATTGTAGTCTGGCTAATCGTTCCTAAGCTTCAGAAGCAGAACATACCCATGACTGAAACCCCACATTACTTCTGCTGTGGACTGTACTTACCTACCCAGGCAACTACCTATTTAAACTACCTAACTACCTACCTATTTTAATCTCTTGGAAGTTTAGCTTTTGGGCACAATCATTCAAGAGCAGCTGATTCTAAGAACTCACTTGCTGGCTGTTGTCTCTTGATGTTCACCTTGGTTAAATATTGCACAAATAACCTTTTTCATAATTTGATCAAGTATTAATTTGCCCTTCATCAATAAACTAATTTCTTGATTATTGCATTTAAATTTTAAGTGATAATCCTTAACAATGGTAGACAAGACAATTTACATTACAACATAGGTACTTTCTCATCCTGCATCTTATCTAAGAGGAATTAGTTCAATCTGGCTTCCCAATAAGGACAGTGAAGTCGGTAATTTTAGGCAGCAAACTCACTCTTTATTCACAATAGTATGGTGTAGGAAGCCCTCTGGTCTACTGAATATTTAGATTCTGAATTGAAATATTAAGTATTCTAGTTTATATATTGCATGATTAAATTTGAATTCCTTGAACTGTGTCCCCAGTAAACATGCCGACGTCGGCCCGACGTCGGCCGACGTCGGGGTGACGTCGGCATCTCGGCATCGGCATGCCGACGTCGGCCCAATGTCGGTCCAACCTCGGCACGACGTCGGCTGGATGTCGGGTATGCCCGCATGTTCCGACGTCCAGCCGAGGTCCAGCCGACGTCGGGCCGACGTCGGACCGAGATCAATTGCTGAGGTCCAGCCGACGTCGGGGCGACGTCGGACCGACATCGGCCGCTGTTTTGACCGTTAAAATAATATAAAATGCATGTTTCACGTTTCATAAAGAGCTGCTGTATCCAAAATATCCTCAAGAAACTCAAATCTTCCTCTACGCCGCAACCCCCTGATCCGGACTGGACGGGAAACTTCATGCCATTTGGGATTGCCCGTAAGCCGAGCTCGCCCGTAGCGGGGTGCGATGAGTGCTTGGGGGCTGCTCGGCCTATCCTTTGGTCAGGCTCAGCCCCGGCAACTCACCAGGGTCGGGCCCCCGTCCCAGTTCATATAGAAAGGCCAGTCGGCAAGTGTCACTTTGCCAAAGTGCCACTTATCAAAGGGACACTTTGGGAAACGTTGGTGCAGGTGTGTAAGGGTGGCTATCTATAGTACTATTTGAGGTGGGTGCGTCTGTCCGTTACCGAGGTCCCGACTTGGCCGTGCTTTGCGTGGACTACAGGCCAGACCGTTGCACCTAGCGCGGTGAAATTTGCACAACTTATAGATCAAGGATGCGCGACGTGCCTTTGAGGGGTCTCAGCTCGATCGGGTCGATAGGGAGCGCGTGGCGCGTGCTCAAAAAGTGCAAATTCGCGTCATAGACTTTACATGTATAAATCGGCGTGCGAAATCGGGCGAAAACGGCCAAATTTGCCCGACACGGGTCCGGTCCCCGTGCAATATCTTGGTGACCAGGGGTCCGATCGGCACGGGGAAAACAGCATCGTGTAGATAATTGAATGGGCAATGGAATCGTGTGCGATACAGAGGATAGCACGCGCCACGTGCACCGGGGAGGGCACTTTTGTTGAATAATTGCGGTTTTTGGCGGATTTTGGAATTTATATTATTTTCAGGTGACCGTCAGACGGAGCGAGCCGAAAGAACGCCTATTAGCAATAAAAATGTACCGCCTCACATGGAAAAATTGTGAAAAGCTGATTGATCCAATTCAAGGTGGTACAAATCTTGGGAGAAAATTGTGTTTGTCAATGATGTGCCACTTTATTAATTACACGCGTTTTGCTGCATAACCTGATACCTTTGGCATTTGAATATGGTACCATTGGATAGAGCATTTAATTCTGTCCAATATTCACTCTTCATTTTTGCATGATGAGCAGCAGTATTCTTAAAGATGTAAATGTTCCAAACCATTACATTGTCATTTTTAGCGAAATTCATCGATGGCCATCAAAAGACTTCACGCCAGTTTTCGAATCATTCTAAAGTAGAACGCATGATAATACGACACGGGCACCTCGATGCGATGTATCTTTTTTGGTTTTATTACAGAATGCTTGGCCGTCAAAAAGCAATCGAACGAAATGGATACCAACCAAATCGACACAGACCAACCCAATACCCACGGGTCAAAACTAACCCTTCTTCGCGTTGCGGAGCACGCGGGTAACCCTAGTATGAATCCATTTGTGGGGTCGCCCTTTCCAATAAGTGTCACGTAACAGCAATGGGACTCTATATGAACTGGACCCAGGGTGCTCGCCAAGAAGACCAATGTCTCTATCCGATCATCCTTCCGGCTCTGAAATGGTCTTGTCAGACCGAAAGGGCATAACCCAACAAAACAAACTAAGTCCACTATCTGGCTGTGGGTGTAGTGGTTAGCGCACTAACCTCGCGTTCAAATGACACGGGGTTCGAATCCCATCGCCAGCTGATGATTTTGGCGCGTTGTCCCAGTAAACATGCCGACGTCGGCGACTGGGGGGCTCGAATCCCGCCGCCGGTCTTATATTTTTGGCGCGCTGTCCCAATAAACATGCCGACGTCGGCCCCGTCGGTCCAACGACAAACGATCTCGTCAACCTCGGCAGACGACCTCGGCCCGACGCCCCGACGTCGGCTGGACGTCGGTACATGCGGGCGTACCCGACGTCCAGCCGATGTCGGGCCGAGGTTGAACCGACTTCGGGCCGACATCGGCATGTTTACTGGGTCCTTTACCATGCATAATATAAATGAAATAACTGAAAAATGTCACATTTATTAAGGTCACTGTCAGTGCTTTCCATTGTTCTTTAACTGAAATTTTTTCATGAATCATGATGAGGTATCACTTGTCAGACATGTTTAAGTATTGAAAATGACCTTGGTAGCCCACTGCCAAGCCAAGTGGACCTTTTTTGTCTTATGCTTTTTATCTTTTTATGTAGAAGGGCCCAAGTAAAAGCATTAAAAGCAGTTCCTGCCATTTTGTGTTAGACATGGATTACTGCTAGGTATGGTGCCATTTGAGAAGGCAAAACTAAAAAGTGGACAGAATTAGATCAAGAACTGTCTTGAAATCGAAAATTGATTTCCCTCAACCAATATATACACTGAACAAATATATTTTCAACTCAGAAGTCTATTGTATTTAATTTTTACCTCTGTGGTGTGTGCCAAAAAATGTTTTATCAATGTATTGTTATCACCCCATACCATACTAACCAAATTACTGACCTGAAGTTCCCAAAAAGACATAGGAAAAGGCATTGGGGTTCTTTAGGTTGTGGGGTGAACTGGCTGATGTTTTGAAAGGGAAATGGTTTAGTTACACTCTACTCCAATGTCCTGTTCATGTTGGCAGGTGATGGACGGCGCGGACGGCGGGCCGCCTGCCGCTCCGTCTCTCGGAGACGGGCTGTCCAAGGCGGCCGAGCTGACCGCAGATGTCAACCAGAACGTGGTGGGCGAGCTGCGGCGGCTCCAGCTGGCGTTCTGCCGCCTGGCGCCGCGGCCCGGCGTGGAGGCCTTCTACCGGGACGGACTGGACTGCGACTTCTGGGCAGAGGAGCCGGCTCCGCCAGTTTCCGCCGACTCGAGTCCGTCTGCTCCGCCAGTTCCCGCCGACTCGAGTCCGTCTGCTCCGCCAGTTCCCGCCGACTCGAGTCCGTCTGCTCCGCCAGTTCCCGCCGACTCGAGTCCGTCTGCTCCGCCAGTTCCCGCCGACTCGAGTCCGTCTGCTCCGTCAGCTGCAGACGTCTCGAGTCCGTCTGCTCCGCCAGTTCCCGCCGACTCGAGTCCGTCTGTTCCGTCAGCTGCAGACGTCTCGAGTCCGTCTGCCCTGCCAGTTGCAGACGTCTCGAGTCCGGCTGTCCCGCCAGCTGACTCCGCCTACCCGGGTGAGCCGGCGCCGCGACAGCTGCCAGGCCAGAGCCGTCCCCCGGGCAGCAGCTCTAGTCCCGCCCGAGACACCGCCCGGCAGCCGGGCGATGGCTCGGGTGGGACGGCGGCGGCGCCGGACGCCGCTGACCTCACCGGGGACTGGCCGGCGGCACCGGCCGGTCCCAGTGAGGTGGTGGCCTCCGCCTCCGCGGGGCGTGCTGCAGCTGTCAGCGGCGGCGGCGCGGCGGCTGTGGCTGAAGCCGACACTCAGGGCGAGCCGTACTGGGGACGACATTACCGTCTGATCGCCGTGGAGCGCTGCGACCGGACGACGGACGACGACGATGATGACATAGAGGTGCTGTACGTGCGCAGTCCGCGCGAGCCGCTGCGGACTCCGAAGCCGGAGCCGGGCCTGTCGCTGGCGGTGGGCGCCATGGCGCCGCCGGACGCCGAGGGACGACGGCCGGGCGAGCTGACGCCGGAGCCAGGCACGCGGCGCGCCGTGGGCTGGGCCGGCGACAGCGACGGAGAGGTCCTCGACCTGAGTCCCGGCTCCTCGATCGACCGACTGAGCCTGCCGGAGCTCCGCACACCGGGCAACCATCTACAGCTGAAAGGCGACCCAGAGACCAAAGAAGCCGCTGCGAATGTGGCTGACTCAGGACAGGAAACCCGATCTCAACCGGCCACTTCTACCGCAGGCGAGTGGCATGATGGCCAGATCTCACAATCGGAAGATGGAGTGGCCAGCATTCATATCTGTGATCCGTTACCTCAGGAGGTCACCTTTAACCCCCTAAGCCTGGGGGTCGGTGACCAATCTCCGATTGAGGAGGGAGAAATCACTGATATCGCCTCCGATGGTGACTGCAGAACCACTGAGCCGACTTCCTCAGTCGGCAAGAAGCCCGCCGTCAAGACCATGGATGGAGACGACAGCAGTCAAGAGTCCATTCTGACAGGCGGGGCTTTGTCTTCTATCGACGAGCATGCCTTTGAGTATCTGCTCGGCAGTCAGGATTCGGACTCAAGCAGCCAAATGGCGTGCGCTAGCCAGTTGGATTTGTTGAAGGAGAGCTCCCAGTCAGGCAATGACTCGTCTGCGGGGTCGGCGGTCTGTGGCGCCGCCGTACCCGACTCTGCCTCGTCCTACCGCAGGGGCAGGGGCCGCAACAAGGGTATGCGGGGCCGCAACAAGGGTATGCGGGGCCGCGGCGGCGCTGGCCGCGGCGGCGCCAGTCGCGTTCCGCCCTCTCCTCTGGCCTCCTCTGACCAGTCGAGCCCCGGCTGCCGCAGAGGCCGACCCAGGAAGGCGGCCGCCACGCCTCTTGTCGAGAGGGTGATCAGTGGCGACCAGGAGGCGCCCGTGGTGCCGACCATCGCCGAGCGGTTGTTCCTGCGTAAGCGCACGCAGAAGGAGCGTCGCTCTCCGTCCCAGGAGCTGCCGGCGGGCTCGGCGGGGCGGCCGGCCAGTCCGGCGGGGCGGCCGGCCAGCCCGGCGGGGCGGTCGGCCAGTCCGGCGGGGCGGTCGGCCAGTCCGGCGGGGCGGCCGGCCGGTCCGGCGGGGCGGTCGGCCAGTCCGGCGGGGCGGCCGGCCAGCCCGGCACCGTCCGCGGCCGTGACGCCGTGCCGGGTGAAGGTCGAGATGCTCACACGAGACTCGGCCAAAAAGCTGTGTCGCCAACATGGTCTCAAGGTTGGTAAATCCGTAAAAAGGTGCCTAAAGCTACGCAAGATGATAAGTCGTGCTAAAGACCGTGTAAAGTCGCTGATGACGTCGAAGTTGACCCACTCGGAGCCCGGTGTCGCGGCAGATGGAGGGGAGCCTCCTGGTGAGAAAGCAGGTACATCCGAGAGCAAGACAAAGGTACCGGAAAACAAGACAAATGATTCCGAGCCAACAGTCAAGACACCTGAAGGAAAAGCAAAGGCGTTGAAAGATGAACTATTGCTGAAAGGTGAAAAACTGTTGGCCGAAATTAAGGTGACACCTGACGACGAGACTGACGCGTTGGAAGGAAAGACAAAGACGACAAAAGAGAAAAAGATTATTAGAGATACGAGAAAAACGTCAGATGGAAAAATAATATCGACTAAGAAGTTCGAGACGGAACAGAACATCTCTGTCCACAATGGCGATGGCGACGCCAAAATGAAGCCGCCAGGAGTCACTTCAACCCAAAAAGGTGACAAGGGCAAGGGGCAGAGCTCTGCTGCTGCCAAAGTGGAGCGTTCTTCATCATCCACCGCACTGAAACCTTCGTTCGGTGAGCAGCTTGCAGCGGCTGACCAGAGCGCAGATTCACGATCGAACAAAGCCACTAGAAAACGGATCGAGGCTCCGTCCCCTGAGGCCTCTGCGGCCTCCAAGCGGACCAAAGCAACGTCGCCAAAACTCCTCTCGAAGTCATCAAAATCTTCCAAACTGACGGATCATCTGAAGATCAGACCGCTGGACAAGAAGGATGGTGTACGGAATCTGAGGATCTCAATGTCGCGGTCGGGCAGGGACGGTCGGCAGGTGAAGCTGGCGGGAGGACGCGGCGGCAGCTCCAGGGAGCTGTCCGAGCTCTGTGACGACGAGCTGAGCGACGCTTCCACCACCGGAACCCCCAGCGCCGACGAGGCCGACAAGTCCACCGACATGATGTCCATCCTCAAACGGCTGACGGCGCGCACACTGCGCGGCGACTTCAAAATCCCCAAACGCCGTCTGGCGGACAAGCCCGCGGAGCCGGAACGACCGGCGTTTGAAAACTTCACCATCACTGTACCGGACAGCGGCGGCGGCGCCAGCTCTGAGGATTCGGCGGCGGCCGATCAACGTCCGCGCCAGCCGAGTCCGGCTCCGGCGGCGACCTCTGACGGGCCGGAGACCGACAGTCAGCCTCTGCTGCCTCCGCCGCCGCCTCCCCCACCCCTACCGGAGCTGCCGCCGTCGTTACCGGAGCTGCCGCCGCCTCCGCCTGAGCTGCCGGACTTGCCTCCTCCGCCGCCACCGGAAGAGCCAGTTCCGCCGCCGCCTCCACCACCGGAAATGCCACTTCCGCCGCCGCCGCCGCCTCTGATGCTGCCGCTGCCGCCACCGGTATTGCTGCATGAGTTGCCGCTGCGGCGACCGGTCGGAGAGGGCTGCAGCGACACGACAGTGCCCGTTTGGGAGCCGTGGCAAGACCCGCCCCCAGACCCGTGGCCAGTGACCGGGGCCGAGGCGTGTGTGTCGAGCACACGGTATCCTTCATCGACAGCCACGTCAGTGGGGTACTCAGGGACGTCAGCGCCGTACCCCGCGGCGTCAGCCACGTCAGTGGGTTACTCTGGGGCGTCAGCCACGTCAGTAGGGTACTCAGGGACGTCAGCGCCGTACCCCGCGGCGTCAGCCACGTCAGTGGGTTACTCTGGGGCGTCAGCCACGTCAATGGGGTACTCTGCGACTTCAGTCACCTCTATGAGACCGCCGGCGGCCGCCGCTCCTGCCAGCGACCGTCCGAATGCGACCATGGCGAGCCGTCTGGGACACCCGGCCGGGCCACCCAGCGGTCGACTCGACCACGGGTCGCGCGCCGGCACACCGGCAGTCTGGCTCCGAGAGCCGCAGGAGGCGGCGGCGGCCGCGTCCGGTCCCGAGAACGGCGCGCCGTCCACGAGCTCCCACGGCTCCGAGGAGCAGGACGAGCTCGTGGTGCTGGATGATGACGGGGAGGGCATTCCTGCAGAGCTGGAGGTGCTCAACTGCAGCGGCCTCGGCGAGGTGGTGCTCATCCCCGAGGACGTGGAGCCGCCCCCGCCGGCCGAGCGGCCCGCCTACGAGTTCCGCGAGTTTGTCAGCGACGACCCGGCCGAAAATGCCGACAACGGCGCCGCCGAGTGGGAGGTGATGCGCCGACTCTGCACGGACAGCGACCGGTACAAGTTCGTCCGGCAGCGCTGGCGCAACACCGAGATCCCCGACCCGCACCGGTGCCTGACGTACCACGGCTACCGGCGCCTGCTGGTGCGAGCCAACTTGCTGCGCATGGGTCTGGCGGGCGGCCGGTCCCGGGACCCGAGCCAGGCGCACCGTGGCCGCGGCCTGAAGCGCACCCTCTCCTCGACCAGCATCGACAGTCGGCCGGCCGGGAAGCGGCAGCGGCTGGCGGCCGGCTGTGCATTCGTAGCCGACTGGCTGCTGGAGCAGGGCCGCACGCTGCGCACGGCCGGCCGCGTGGTGCCCTCCCTGCAGGTGGCGCGCCGGCGCATGGAGCAGGAGGCGCTCCGGTTCTGCCGGCAGCTGGCCTTCAACATGCAGCTGACGCCGTCACAGCGCCAGTGGGAGATGGACATGCTGCACGAGCGGCAGCGGCGCGAGCTGCAGCTCGAGTTCGGGCCGCGCACGCGCCGCGCCGCCCACCGGCTCAACGCCGCTAAGGCCGAGACGGAGACGTTCTTCCGGTTCTACACGGGCCTGAACAACACGGACGCGGAGAACGCCTCGTGGCTGACGGAGCCGCAGCGCCGCGAGGTGCAGGAATTCGAGGAGTTTCTCGTCGGCCAGGACCGCGTGTACGGCGAGTGTCTCGACGAGGACTTTTGATATCGAGTCCGCTACTTTGTGTTCATATACTCGGCAGCTCCAGTGCCTGTGCTAATGAGGACGACATTCGTACTAGTCTTGCGAAAATGACAGGGAAAGTGGCCTTAAAACAAAGGAATGCGAGCTTGGTAAAGAATTGCTTACTTCTGTTGCAGCATGAATTGCAGTACGTTCGGTATTTTTTTCTCAGGTTAAGTGTAATGTACCAAACTAGGAGTGTACGAGTATGTGTACTGTAAGACAATGCACAAGCCAGTTCATCTATCATATGTATTTGAAATGCAGTTGCATTGCAGAGTGATTGCGCTGCTCAGTTGGCATTTGCCTCTGTATCCACATCCAGCGCAGCCTCTCACCACTCTCCCCGTAAACATCGGCGGATTGCCAGGACGATACTCACGGCTTATGACTCAGCCGAAGTGCCTGTGTTTGGAGTGTTTACTGGCCATTGTGATCCATGTTTCCATGCGTAACTGACGTCGCCCGATGGTGGAGCGACTGGTCTATGCCATGTTGCGGCGGTGTGCAGCGCTAAAAATGCGGTCGGACGCCAGCCTGACATCGGGCACACAGCGGAACGTGCCTTCTGACCCGCCGCAGGCTGTGTATATAGTGTACCTGTCTACTGAATCATCTAGTGTAACAGTCTACCGAATCGTCTAGCGTACCTGTAACCAAGTGCAAAGAAGCCGGAACCGAGAACGGAGCGGGGCTATTCGAGAGCTTACCGCTGTGATGGGTTAACCACCCGGCTGTGACTGCCGCGCCCCGAGCGGCGGCTGTGTGTGGGACGAGAGGTGCCGCCAGGGAGGGGCGGCGGCGATAGGCCCGCCCTGCCGCGGGGGCTAATGTTACGCGCGGGCGCTCAGCGTCACCGGCTGTCCGCCCGCGGAGCTGTGCGATGTGCACCGACCTGAAAAATGCCCGTCGTATTGAAACCGTGAGTTCCTACTGTACTTATGGCATTCCTAGTGTTGTGCAAAAGCCGCAGCGGTCTGAGGTCTGCGCGTTTGTGAGCCTTTATTATCCCAGCAATACATACATGTTTTCGAAGGCCGTTTTCCGATAACTAGAGCGCGTTTGTTCGGTGTTACGTAGAAACGAATCCAGAACAAAACTGTGGGTCATAAGATTATCGTTCCGTTTCCTGTATTTGTCACGGTCACGGTATCACGCATTACGCGATAATCAACATTCAGTCTCGCTTATCAGCATTTACAAACACCTTTTATCTAGTGTTGCGGTGGGACAAAGACACCGATAGTCTGCCCGGCCCGGGTCAGTCGTCGGTCTGGTCTGACGCCGCTGGTGACACAGGACGTTGAGCTGCGGCCGGTAGGGTCGGCGGTTTTCTCGTTTGGTCTGCGACCGATGTGAAGGTTTGGCTGGTCTGGAAACTGTGTGAAGATACGATTGCTCTGCCGTGGAGAACAGGTGCGGTTGGGACAACCACACTGGGATAGGTTGTCCGGCCTTGGGACATTTGACATGGGACTGACACAGATGGCGTGGATCACTGAATGTAGGGATCACCCGGCCTGCTCTGGGGCCAGTGAGGTTCCCATTCGTCTAGTCCGTCTGAGATTTGTACCCTGGTCTAGTTTTGGTCTGGTCTGGGAACGAAGGGATAGTCGGACCAAGTCTGGGATCGGCGACGGTAACGATCACCTTCTCTGGGACTAGCGGCCGGCGGGGGTACGGCTACTGACCGTCAGATCTAGTGTGAGGCCCGTAGGATTAGAACTCTGGGTAGCCGGGGTCTGGGACTGGTGAGGTAACCCTGATGCCGGTGGCGGGTTTCTTATAGTCTGGGATAGAAAGGGTTACGAGTCGGTTGGTCTGGGATGGGAGCGGTAGGAGTGCGAGTCGTTTGGTCTGGGACTGGTGGGGTTACGACTCGTTTGGTCCGGAGTAGTTACGAGTCGTTTGGTCTCGGATATATGGATTCTGGTTGGTCTCGGATCGGTAGGGTTACGACTTACGGGTCGTCTGGTCTGGTCTGGTATGTAATCGGTAGGGTTACGAGTCGTTTGGTCTGTAGTAATCGCGGTCTGACGGCGGAGGCCGGCGTTAATCGACCAAACTGTGGTCGGCCGACCTCTGCCGGCTCCGACTGTACTGTACGAGAGCCGGCACGGCCGGCCGCCGGCGGGCCTGTTAAATCGATGTGCCGCGCTGTCCGGAAGTGGCCCAGCGCCGCCGGCCGGCCCAGTCAGACGGGCCATGGTGACGGCCGGGACAGGAATGCGGCGGACGGCACCCAGGTCAGTCAGTGGGACAGGAGTGTGTGTGGACGGGTCAGTCAGCATGGCAGGAGCGACTGTGGACGGGTCAGTCGGCGTGACAAGAGCGTGTGTGGACGGGTGACAACTGACAGGTCAGTCAGCGTGACAGGAGCGTGTGTGGACAGCACCCAGGTCAGTCAGCATGACAGGAGCGAGTGTGGACGGGTCAGTCGGCGTGACAAGAGCGTGTGTTGACGGGTCAGTCAGCGTGTCAGGAGCGTGTGTGGACGGGTGACAACTGACAGATCAGTCAGCGTGACAGTAGCGTGTGTGAACGGCACCCATGTCAGTCGGTGGGACAGGAGCGTGTGTGGACGGGTGACAAATGACAGGTCAGTCACTAGTCAGCGTGACAGTAGCGTGTGTGGACACTGGACAGCACCCAGGTCAGTCAGCATGACAGGAGCGAGTGTGGACGGGTCAGTCAGTGGGACAGGAGCGTGTGTGGACGGGTCAGTCGGCGTGACAAGAGCGTGTGTTGACGGGTCAGTCGGCGTGACGGGAGCGTGTGTGGACACTGGACAACTGACAAGTCAGTCAGTGTGACAGGGGCGAGTGTGGACGGGTGACAAATGACAGGTCAGTCAGTGACCAGTGTGCCAGGTATGTCGTGACACAAGAGTGTCGGAAGGTCAGCCGTTGTGACAAGTGTGGACGGGTCAGCTGAGTCATGTAAGTGGGGCCAAAATTGACGGGCGACGAGCTATCTTCATCATACACATCTGTCTTACGACAGGTCAGCGCTGCCCAGAACCCTTTTGAGTATCGGATTTAGGTCCGCACATAGAAACGTTCTTTTCGAACCACTAAAGAACACATTGTACCGTCACACAGAGTCACATATCTACCACGTCGCACAGGCACATGCATGTATGGCATATGCATGGTAGCAGTGTTCACTTTCGTGTTAACCCGGGCACTGGTGCACTGCGTGGCCGGGCAGGCGGGGCGGCGGCGCCCGCGGCCGGCCCATCGCTCTGGTGGGAGCCGTGGACTCCAGCGAGACAGGCTCCTCGTCAGACGCCGCCGGCCAGCGGGGACCCGCTGACCAGCCGGACTCTGCTGCTGCCGCTGCCGAGAAACAGAAACGGATCAAAATCTCCTTCGATGGGTACGTCTGCCATAGCAGCTGAGGGAACCTGAGGGGAGGGACGGGGAGAGACTCGAGAGAGGGAGAGAGAGAGAGAGAGAGAGAGAGAGAGAGAGAGAGAGAGAGAGAGAGAGAGAGAGAGAGAGAGAGAGAGAGAGAGAGAGAGAGAGAGAGAGAGAGAGAGAGAGAGAGAGGGAGGGAGAAGAGAGAAAGCACGCTCACTAATCACTCACTCAACAAAAGTCGATGACGATATTCATGTCCGAGATGCGATGTCAATCAATGATCTCACCTGTAACAGGCTTACTGACCGTACTTCCCCGCTCCTCGGCCGTCCATTTCCCTCTGCGCTGCTCAGCCAGGGCCTATTCGCCTGGCCGGAGTCGGTGGACAAGGCGGTCAACCTGCTCACGCTGCAGAGCAACTTCATCAGCCGGCTGCCGGACGGTCTCTACCTGCCGGCACTGGTGCTGCTCGACCTCTACGATAACCAGCTGGAGAGACTCGGCGGCCTCCGGCACCTCGAGACGCTGCGCGTCCTCGTCGTCGCCAGAAATAGGTGAGTTACGGGCGCACCAGGGAGAGGGGAGGGGGAGCACCAACACACAGCATCGCTCGGTGCCAGCACACTGCACCGGGCGATACCCTAACACACAGCATTGGGCGAGCCGACACTCGTAACTGAAGTCTGAGAACAAACAATGACAATGAAACGACATTTTGCTTTGATTTTGGCCAATTTGTTTGCCAAATTTGAACTAGGAGTTGAGGGACTGCAAATTACTCCTATTTTGCAGCCCCTAAACGTCTCTTCTGTGGCCGGCAGGCTGCGCAAGATCGAGGGTCTGGAGCAGCTGGTGCACCTGGAGATTCTGGACCTTCACAGTAACTACATCACGCGCACCACCGGCCTGGAGACGCTCAGTCGGCTGCGCGTGCTGAACCTGGCCAACAACTGCGTGCGCACGGTGGGCGGCCTGGCCTCTCTGGGCAGCCTGCAGCAGCTGAACCTGCGCGGCAACTCACTGCGCCGGCTGGTCGGCCTCGAGCAGCTGCCGCGACTTGTCAAACTCAACCTGGCGCACAACGACATACGCAGGTCGGTGAAAGAACCGGACAGCAGGCACGTGATACAAAAATACAAGACACAGAAAGACCCCGGGCACCGGATAAAGACAAGGACACACAGACAGACCGACCCGGGGCATGGGAAAATGGCAGTCACCTGACACATGATGCAAACCGACAATGACAATGAACGTATAGTTGGTCACCTGTCTGTCGCACTGTTTGTCACTTGACTGGTGCACCATTTGCTTCTTTTCTGATGTGCTCTTCGTCAGGCCGGAGGACGTCGAGTGTCTGGTGAACTGCCACCAGCTGGAGGAGCTCTCGCTGAACAGCGCACCAGTAGCCGCCCACCCCGGCTACCACCCGCTCCTCTACCGACTGAAGCGGCTCAAACTGCTCGACGGGATGCACGTGAGTGGTGGGATACGGTACCTACGCCAAGTGGTGCCTCCCTGCTCTGATACCAGGCTGCCAACATAAGAGCTCCGCATGTCTGCTGACTTTCCATTCCCATTCTGATCATTGCAATTTCAAGATGAGCGATGCCAAAAACCTGTGGCTCTTCCTACCGTTGCCATTTAGCGGCCCGCTGCCGTGCGGCACAGTCTAGCCACCAGGCGCATACTACTCGTGCCATCTAGCGACCGTAACTGTAACTCGATGTCTTGCGGTACAGTCTAGAGCTTCAGGCGCCTATTACTAACGCCATCTAGCGACCGTGGCTGCAACTCGGTGTTTTGCGGTACAGTCTAACTTCAGGCGTCTATTACTAGTGCCACCTACATAGCTGCGATTTGGTGTTTTGCGGTACAGTCTAACCTCAGGCGCTTCATTAGTGCCATGTAGCGGCCGCAGCGGCAGCCCTGTGCCTTGCGTTGCAGCCTAATTTCCGGCGCCTTCTCTTGGAGTCATCTAGCGAAAGCAGATGTAGCTGTGCGCAGCGGAACTCGGGCGCACAATAAATGGACAAAGACAGGTGTTGCGGTAAAGCTGCGAAAGTATGCAGCGGATGCACTGTGCACACTGTGCAGGTAATATTGCATCTGGAAACAATTGGTGAAGCGCCGAGCACAACGGCATTAGCCATCACGAGCAGGACTCGGCGAGGGAATGGCAGTTGTGAACGTTGCAATGACCGGGGTGTCCCATCTCTAACCAAACAGGTGGAGCGGGGCCCTGAGGAGCCGGCAGTCGGGCCGGCCGGGGCGTCCGAGCCGGCGCCGTCGCTGGCCCGGACCGCCGTCGCTCCGGCCGGCCTACAGCGGAGCAGCACCGAGGGCTCGCTGAGGGGCGGCCGGCGGCCGGCGCGGCCCCGCTCGCTGGACCGGCCGGCCGGCGGCGCGGCGCCGATTGTGGCGCGCGGCCGCTCCCTGTCCGCGGTCCGTCCGAGCACCGAGCGGCCGGCGGCGGTCCGGCGCCCGGCGCGCGCCCGCCGCCCCTCCAGCCGCGCCGTCCGGCCGGCCCGGCTGCCGGACCTGGTGCCGGCCTGTGAGCGGTCCGTGAGCGCCAGCGCCAGCTCCGTCAGCTCGCTGAGCGAGGAGGCGGCAGCGGCGCCAGGCTGCCGCTGCGGCCGGCCGGCGCCGCTCGACTCGGCCGACACGCTGCGCACCGGCGAGACAGAGCTGGAGATCAAAGACGGCTGTCTGATCGTCTCCGGAGACCGGGCACTCAGGTGAGACATACACGAAATTTGACAAATTGGGCATATTATAGTTGGCAACAAGAGTTGGGAGTTTCTCGGTCTCTAATTCACCTATGGTTGGAAACTTTTGACGGGGTTCAGACAGGAGTTATGCCTAGGGTAGTGTCCACTGTCTAGTCTCAAATAACATCAGTGGTTTGCCTCCGTTTTCAGGCTGCTAGCCACCTGGGAGCCGCGGGACGCCGGTCAGGTGCGCTGTCTGGCCTTCAGCCGGCTCGAGTTTGACCAGCTGGCGCCGCTGCTGGTCACGCTGCGGGACCGGTTCCCGCAGGCGGCCGCGCTGCGGCTGGGCGCGGTGCGTCTCAGCACGCTGTCGCAGCTGAACGCCGTCAGCCGGCTGGGTGAGCTGCGTCAGCTGACGGTGGAGCCGGCCGGGAACCCGGTGACGCAGCAGCGCCTGTGGCGGCCGTACGCCGTCTACCGACTGCACCACCGCGGCCTGAGGCGGATCAACGACACGGCCGTCAGCGGCGAGGAGGCGGCCGCGGCCGCCGCTCAGTTCGGACCGCTCGGCCGACTCGCCTTCTGCTGCCTGCCAGAGAGCCGGCTGGTCGAGATCGCCGAGCGGCTCTGGTTCAGCGACGTCAAAACCAAAAGTGAGCAGGGGCAACCACCGGCCTGACAGCCCTGGCCACTCAAACCGTTGCTGATTCAGACCTCGTGTCCAAGTGCTTTTTCAAATAATGGTGCATACTGCTTAGCCTCTTCAATTTGCTCTACACTTCCAGCCTAGCACTCAAATTTGGAGGAAACCCAGCTGAGGACTGTTCTGCTCAACTTGCTCTGCGTAATCCAAGATCCCATGCCCATCATTATCATTCCACATTCCCACCACTGTCTGGTGACTTTCCACATCCCCTCTAGTCCAAAAAGCCTCAGCCCCAGCCATAGTCCCGGGCGCGCCCCACAGTTCACGCCGCACGCCCTCATAGCCGGAGTTCGTACAGCCTCCGCTGTGCATGTCTCCACTGCTCACAATCCCCTACAGCCGTTCGTCGGTGGCCATTGAACCGCTCTGTTGGCAGACGGTGACACCAGGCCGACCGTGGAGCAGGTCCGCAGCCGGCTGGCCGACCCTCGTCTCCAGGGCGTCATGGAGCGGGAGGCGCTGCTCTACAGCCCGCGGCGCACCGCCGGCCCGGTACGTCACAACGAACGGCCATGTCTCATTGCGTGCTATGTTGCATGCAGTACTCCTTCAAAGCAAGCTTTCTGAGCAGCCAGCAGAGTGCAGGACGGATTCCCAATTAGTTTTGTTGGCCTTTTTTTACTTTCTCTCTATGGAGCTGTTCCATTGGAACGCCAGTGGAGCAACGCCCTTCCCCTCCCACCAGCATGTGTGGCAGCGGGTCTCCGGTTCAACTCCTGGCCCAATCGGTCCGCTCTATCACTGCTGCATCACTATGACTTCCCGCCCCCTGTCCGCCGGCAGTGTTCGCCGCTGGAGGCCCCTCTGCGGGAGGCGCAGCGCTCGGTGGCGGCGCTGCGCACCTTCCACGGCCTGCTGCCCAGCCTGCTGCGCGAGCTGAGTGGCTCCGCGCACCAGCGGCGAGCCGGCTCGGCGGCGGCCGGCCACGAGACGCGCGCCCTGCTGGACCAGCTGGCCGCTTCCATCGACGGTCCCAGCTCGTGACGCTGAGCCAATCGGCGGGCCCGCCGTCCCAGCCCTGCCCTCAAACGGAGCGGGCGTTGCGTGCTCCAGCGATAACAGGCCAGCGCCCCGTCCCCTTAGGTGGCTCACGAGACCCGTCACCGGCCCATGCCGTGCTCCACGCCACACGCGCGGCCCTGAGGTGATTGGAAACCAACTGGGTCACTGCGACCGCCCCCTGATGTCATCGAGCGGGAGAGCTGCCGACTCCGCCCGCCGCCAGGCAGAGTTTGGGGTGAGGGGAGAGAGCGAGGGAGGGAAGGACGCCATAGACTGCCATCCAAACCAGCTGTGATCATCCTTGCAAATCTATGTCAATGAATTGAATACATGTATTTTACTTAAAGCTGAGTTTTGCTTGAAGATGCCGGCTGATCGTAACGAAAATTAAACAAAAAATGGCGAAATGATCAATGTATTTTGAGCACACCTGAACGTAACATCGCTGAGGATTTGCGGACTCCGGTAGTGAGATCCCATGTGTTTACAACGCCGACTGGTGGACGTAAGTATGCAGTACAAGAGCAAAACGTGTTGAGATAATTGCATCGATCACTTTTCACAAGGCGGGTTCCATGTTTAAAGAGCATACAAAACGGCGTCAAAGAATCACATTATCACCAATTCGTCTCCACCATCACAACAGCCCGTAATCGTGTCGTCTTTGACAGACAATGCAACACTGTAGTTAATCCACACGGCCTTCGTTACGAGATAACCCTAGCTGGCTGGTGGATCACCTTATCGACCTGACCTCAGCATCACTAGTCACTACCCGACCGACCGAGTATGATCGGCGGGTCCGGCACCCGGCACCCAGCACCACCGGCGGCCGGCCGGTGCCGTCACTCTGTCTCCATGTCTCTATCAGTCTCCTGGCAGCCGCCGGATGCAGTCTGTCAGCGTCTGCCGTCACTCTGCCTTCATGTCTCTGTCTCCCGGCGGCCATCACTCTGCCTCCATGTCTCTGTCTCACTGCGGCTGCCGTCACTCTGACTCCATGTCTCTGTCTCACTGCGGCTGCCATCACCCTGCCTCCATGTCCCCACCGGCCGGCACGTACTGCTCGGCGGCGGCGCCCACCACGTCGTCCTGAAACTCGGCGCCCACCGCGCACGCCAGCAGCGTCTGTATGGAGCGCTCCTCGCCGGCACCGAATACGTAGCCGTTGGCCTTGTCGACAGAGCGCAGCACACGCGCCATGGTCGCCTTGTCGGACACGTTGAGCGGCACGAACGACACGAGGCCGTAGTCCTCGACCAGGCCGGTCAGCTTGGCCGTCAGCCGGCGGTAGCGGCGTGTGAACGGGTCGTCGTCGAGCAGCTCGGCCAGCCGCTCCAGGTCCATCACCTGAAGAACACGCCGACCCGCGCCGAGTCAGGGATCGCCGGAGGAGCATGGGGGACAACGCCGGCCGCTCAGTCTGACTACAAATTTCCACAGCGGTGCGACGGAAGAAACAGCTTACTAAAGGCCGACACGCAGATAATAGCGCCAAACGACTCTCCTAATGGGTACATGGACCAAAAGACAAAACAAATTATCAGTAGAAAATAGCTTATCGCTGGATAAGGAACGAAAATTTTAAGCCACAATTCAAATATGCACTTAATGATTAATTCTTGCCGATGCCTGATAATAAAAACAGGGGAAGTATAGATCAAAATTGATTACCCTTACCTCCGTATAAAAATCCAGGCCGAAGTGCAGCTTCCCGAATTTCTCAGCCAAATCGATTTTCGACAATACGTTGATGTGCGGCAGAGCCAGGTGAAGCATCATGGCCAGGGTCGAAAGGAGCACCGAGACAAACTTCCCTGCACACAGCCGCATACACCGTCATCAGAACAATGGCAGAGCTGCCACATTACTTGGCTGGGCTAGACTGAGCCTGGCCGGCCAAGGCGTAATGACAGGATACATTCAGTTTCACCTGGCTGGGCTCCGTCGCACCCGTCCCATGGGTTACCGTTGTGGGAAAGCCCCTGGTCACGTGCATCCCACGCCCCGGGTCGCCGGTGCGTCACATTGCAGCCGACGGTAGGGCACAGTCAGTCGGTCAGGATCGACTGATTACAGGCCACTTTGAGCCGCCTGCCTCAGGCGGAGCGACGGTGAGACGGAGGGACGAGAGGCTATAGTGTAACCGTCCCATGTCATGTGACAATTAAGGTTTGGCCATATCGTTATAGTTTTATGCGTTAAGTTTGTCGTGTTCTCTTCACTCCAGCTATCGATTTCTCGACGAACTTTAGCAATAAATTGGTGGAATTCACATGACAAAAAAAAAAACGTCAGATAGGATCAGTAGGTACGCATTATCTAGCGACACACAGGCTGCCGTTAGAATACGCACTTACGTCTTAAATGGCCTTAGTAACACTTTCACATAATGCAGCATAGAAATATCTCGAAAAAATAACATCAAAATGCTCTAAAACGGTGCATTATAATCAGATCCCTAGAGTTCCGTAGCTAATATACAGGCGGTTACATCTAAATTCGAGTAAGTTATCTAAGTCAGCCCTCAAATTGTCTCTCCACCTATCTTACATGCCTGACAGAGTTGTTCTCGCATTGACTGTCAAAATGTCGTTCGAAATGTTGACGCCGAAATGTCGTTCATTGACTTCTGTAATCAAATATGCGCCCCCTTTGATATCGCCACCGATCGACCTGGATCGTTGCACTAATGAGAGTCCAGCCCTTTCGATGACCCCGTCCCCCGGGCCAGCGGAGCCGGGCGATCGACCTGGGTCGCTGCCGTAGTGTGAGTCTACCACCACCCTTCAACGATCCCCCTCGACCGATCTGGGTCGCTGCAGTAGTGCGAGTCCCACCCATGACCCCCTGGGCCAGCAGAGCCAGCCAACTGACCTGGGTCGCTGCAGTAGTGCGAGTCCACCCCCTTCCAATGAGTCCCCTCAACCGACCTGGGTCGCTGCAGTAGTGCGAGTCCACCAGGTTGACGGCCGTCAGACGGAAGTTGGCCTTCTCCAGCCGGCGGAGAATGCGCGGTACCGCCGCGTTGTGGGTGTACAGCTCCACCTGGCGGGCCAGTGGAACGGCGTCAATGCAGAGGCCGGTAACCTAGCGTTGCCATAGACCGAAGCCTTCAAGCATGGTTCTGAGGTAAACGATGCCCAGCGTTGGCAGCAGCCGCCCAAGTAGGTATCGTAGCACGCGTCCTGGCTTGACACCATGACCGTCGGCGCTACTGCCAGGATCACCGCTGTTGCTTAACACTGTCGTGACACAATCCTCCCTCTGACCCCAGTACATGGCTCTCGCTGACGCCGAAGCAGCTAAGATTATTACAAATCGCGCCCTGCCGCGAAGCTCCTACCCACCTGTCCGGGGAAGTCGAACAGGATGTACTTGTCTCCTAGGGCGGCGAGTCGCTGCAGCAGCCAGTCCATGTTCTTCTCCAGGTACTCGAGGCAGTAGAGCAGGGCGCCGTTGGGGCCCAGCCGCAGCTCGCGCATCACATCCTCCACGGTAACCAGCTCGGCCAGGTCGAGGTCGGCCGCGAACGGCAGCGTCTCGTTGGCCGGGTCCAGGTTGACGAGCGCCACGGGCCGACCGGTGCCGCGCAGCAGCTCGGCCATGCCGGCGCAGTAGGTAGTCTTCCCGGAGCCGGGCGGGCCGACCACCACCTGACCGAACCGCACCGGCGACACGGCCGCCATCTGCCGGGAACGCGGGGGTCAGGGAATGACACGGAGGCTACATGACAGATATGGGGCCTCACACGGCCGCCATCTGACGGGGACGTGGGGGTCAGGGATGCTAACACGGAGGCTACATGACAGGTATGGGGCCTCACACGGCCGACATCTGCCATGGACGCGGGGGTCAGGGATGCTGACACGGAGGCTACATGACAGGTATGGGGCCAGTGCTGGAAATGAGGCCGCTTTCTGGTCCCGGCATTTTATTCTCCGGGTGAGTTAGCCCCGTCTAGCGCTTAGCCTTTCGGGACCCTCTCAGAGCCGCGGTTGTTTTCGCCGCTCGGCCCATTCGAGATGCAAAGTTGATAGTCGCACGAAGTTTATTTGGGGCCTCTGAATATACGACTTCGAAATTAATCGATTCTACAAAACCTTTTACTTTCATCTATATGCATACATTTAACAGTAACTCCAGACTAGACTGGTTTGGCTGACCCTAAATAAGCTTCGTGTGACTATTAACTTTACATCTCGACTAGGGCGAGCGGCGAAAACAACCGCGACCCTGAGTGGGTCCCGAAAGGCTAAACGCTGGACGGGATTAACCCGCGAGGAGAATAAAACGCCGGGACCAGAAAGCGGCCTCATTTCCAGCACTGTATGGGGCCTCACACGGCCGACATCTGCCGGGGACGCGGGGTCAGGGCACTGAGGGGCTCAGCTGGCTACTGGGGCACTTAACACACCATAGTGGGACGCAGGCATCAGGGAACCGACACACTGTCTGAAGGGCTAAGAGGGAGGGCCTGACACAATGTTGAGGGGGACACGGCTCAGGGACCTGACGCACAACTGTCAGAGGCTCACGTGTAAACTGTAAGGCAAGACACACTACCGCAGGGGACTACCAGCTGGGCGTCTATAAGGGATGCATAACGGGCTGCCAGAGGTGCTGACGGCTGAAGAGCATAACGTACACTATTTGCCGCATAAGCTAAACACGTCATAGTCCGATCTATATATATTTAGATTATATAGGGAATTATATTAGGAATTATTTTTTATAATCCCCAACATTTCGCGGTGCATTATGATGCTTCATCCCTGGCTTGTTTTACCAGCCAGTGCATGTTCCAGATTCCGTGGCTTTTCAAAAAATAACTCCGTAAGGGACTGACCGGAGTAAACTAGTAAAAATTGCATTTTCTTTCTAAACTCCCCGGCGAAAAAGTGGTGTTGAAACTATCAACCATAACCTAAATAAGTTGAACGTTCCCCTCTTGGCTCTTCACTACACAAATGCGCGCTGGCGTCGTTCCCGGGTCGTACCTTGCTACCGACCAGTCTCCTGACTGTTCTCCTTCACCACGGGAACGATCTTCTTCAGCAGCGCCGGCGTGAGCTGCCGCAGCGCCAGTGTCACGATCAGCTGTTTGCGCGTGGCCAGCCGTTCGGCGAGGAAGCGGGCGGCGGCTCGGACCGACTCCGAGTCCTCTCCGAGTAGTACTCTGGGGAGCGAGGGTGGGAGTCAGACGACAAGGGCCACGCCCTCTACAGCGTCGGCGTCAGGGTAGCAGACAGATTCGGGTTCACGAACCCACAGCGTCATCAGGTCACTGGGACCAGTATTTGATAGCTGTGGCCTCAGACATTCGTAAATCAAGGCGCGTTAGTGCTGTCAGAGCCATACGGCAAGCCACACCAATCTAATATTGAGCGGTCACTCACCATTCACAGTCACAGTGGTAATAGGCCGGAACAGAATGGCACGCGAATCACACGGCACAAAACATTTGATAATGATCGCCAGCGGATAAAATGGCGGGGCCTTCAGTTGGTTTGTCAAACATCAGATAAAGAGAGGAAAGAAAACACTTTGAAACGTTAAAAAAACAATTACGTTTCACAGTTGTACAGCGTTGACATGCATACTAGAACCCGACGCAATGGTATGCTTTCAAATAAAAGAAGTACTTATTTTGCGTGAATAATTACCGTGTGTTGTAAATCTTGTTGGGGCCTTCCACGACCTTCGATGACTCGATCTCCACCTGAACGATAGTGCCCAGTTTCTGGTACTCGGTGATGCACAGAAAGTCCGTCTCGCTGGAAATTCGTTACAAACGTTGAAACAGACATTGACTGTACAACGCATACCACGCATGCGTTGCACTATGCGTAGCAGTGCACCTTACATATAAGCAAAATGTCTACTTCAGGCTCTATCAAACGCAAACACTACCGTAACGGGTGCTTTTTGCAATGAAGCCGAACTATTATTGCGATAAACGCACAATCGAGACCTTTACCATACAAAGACTGTTTCAGACAGACATTCAGACTGTTTCCAGTCTTCATGACAACATCATTTTACCAGGTAGATTGTGCAAAGTGCACAGGTACCGTTGTCAGCGTTGCTATCCCCCGTGCACCCGGCGGTGCCCCGCACCACACTCACCCAAACACAGCGGCGGCAAAGTCGATGTGCTGGCCGTCAACGAGCGCGGCGAACACCTTAGACGAGCACGGAGCGGATACGACAGGAGCGGATCGCACTGCGTCCCGATCCTCCAGCAGGGACATGGCGCGTTGGCACGCCGGACCTGAGGGCGGCGGCAGAGCACGTGACGTCAGTGTCACACGGGGCGGGCTCCAGGGCACTTCACAACACCCGCAGCGTTGTAAAACAGCGTTTTCTTTAGCGTTACCTTCCTAATCCACCTACCCAGGCGCTGTCCGACCTCGGTCAACATTAGCTGACCCGGCATACCGTCAGTTGGGCTCTCTAAAACCTGGTCATCCCGTCTCACAGCCCACTGACCTGGCCGTCCATCTCACAGCCCGGTGACCCGTCCGTCCTTTAAAAGTCCACTGACCTATTAGTCCGTCTCGCAGCCCACTGACTGAGCTCACAGTCCGTCTTACACCCCACCCGCCCGTCTCACAGCCCACTGACCTATCAGTCCATCTCGCAGCCCGCTGACCTGGCTCAGACTTGGCCGTCTGTCTCACAGCCCGGTGACCCGTCCGTCCTTTAAAAGTCCACTGACGTATTAGTCCGTCTCGCAGCCCACTGACTGAGCTCACAGTCCGTCTCACACCCCACCCGCCCGTCTCACAGCCCACTGACCTATCAGTCCATCTCGCAGCCCGCTGACCTGGCTCAGACCTGGCCGTCTGTCTCACAGCCCGGTGACCCGTCCGTCCTTTAAAAGTCTTTGACCTATTAGTCCGTCTCGCCGCCCACTGACCTGGCTCAGAGCTGACTGTCGCCGGCCGCCAGCCGGACTCGCATGCTGATCACGTCGCCGGTACGCAGCGTGGCGTGCTCGTGGTGTGCCAGCGGCGTGCGCAGCTCGGCCACGTGCAGGTGCAGTCCGTCTCGGTCGCAGGCCGCCAGACGACCATGCACCACGCCGCCCTCCTGCAGTCCGAACTCTGCCTCACGGCCTGCCCACAGCAGCGCCGGGCGCCAGTGACGGTGGTGAGCCCGGACACACACAAAACACCCACAAAACCAACGAGGGCGATCAGCTCAGCCACAAAACTGCCCATGAACTATATTATAGCTGCTGCTGCTTGTAGCTGCTGGGTAGCTTTACCGCTGCCATAAGCTGCTATATGGTTACAATAAACACATTTCCTTAAACACTTACTGTAGCACTCCAACACTGACACGCTGTGAATTTAAATAAAAATGATAAAAATAAGCTATAAGCCTATAAGGTGAAGCTGCTTAATGCTTTGTAATGACAGCAACATTGTATGACCTCAAACAGAAGAAGTGCTCATAGTCACATACAGGGTGTCCCAGAATTACCCGGACATTTATTTTCTGGCTAAAAGTACGACTGCGCTCGCTTCTAATGACATACAAGCATCATACTTTTATAAGATATCCCTTAGCTATCAAGATTGGGGACTGTGTGCTTTTGGTGGCCGGTAACGACTCGAATCAATTATTATCCAGAGTCAAGTAAGAGTAGTCCTTTTCCGTTTTCAGCTTAAGCCACTAATAGGCAACCATGGTGAATCAACTCCCGTTCTCAACTTTGTAAACGGACTTTCGGCATGGTTTTTGCTGGAGAGCTTCAGCAGCTCATCTGCAAGCAGTTAGGATTGAGCAAAGCGCAATTATATCAGCTAACGAAGCCAGAGAGAGCAAGAGATAAGCCTGATTGACAAGCTTGGGCTCGGCCAAAAAGGGCCATGCACCAGTTGTCAAACAAGTGGTTGCTTGTCATAGACAACAAACGTCACCGATCTAGCTAAAAACTAGCTAAACAATAGATCAGGATTATCTACAAAACATGAGTCTACTTTGCACCACTATCTTCGACAAAATTTTGGAATTTGGGGTCCTTCGCCAGAAAAATATGCGAAAACTACGGGAAAAGCAGCGCAAATCACTACAATTCATCCCAAAAACATAACATATACAACAAAACAGTATATTGAGGCACACTTTGTGGTCTAACGAAGGTATTATGTCATTTGAACCGCCCGAAAAAGGCTTGTGTGAATGTCAGATGGCTACAACTCCCCAACAGCAGAGACGGCCAGGCACCCGTCGAAAATCAAATTGTGAGACATTTTGAGCCACCGTGCACTCATTGGCTTGATATGATGGCCCAAAGACAACCGATAGCACAGGGTACTACTGCGGTAATATTCTACCAGTGCGAAAACTGGATGCCGTGAACCAAATTGCCATGAACGGGTTTGTTTTGGAAACCAAATCTATTGGAAGCCAAAGGTTGCGCAATGTTCAGACATGGAGCTTCTCCACTCCAGATGTAAAAAAACGCAGCAAAAGTGGCGTAGGCAGAAATTTTTGTTTTGGGGAATAATACCTTATGGCCTGGGAACACTTTGATGTCAAGTTTATCTTATATGATCGTATTATCCTCCGGCAAGAGGTCAAAGAAAACAGGCCTACACCCAGTTTCGGGAGACCCGTAAAACAACTGAGACCAGCAATGGCTGGCATTTTCCATCATTGTCGGCTGATCTTGTAACAAGCGTATCTATTGCATGTGCTATTTCACAGCCACCCTAGTTGACTATATAGGACGGTAAAAAGAAAAAAGCGCAATCATGTTTGCCTTATTTTATACGCTAATTAACAATGTCCGGGTAATTATGGGACACCCTGTAGGTATCGATTCTAAAGATTCGAAAAATATTTGTTTTGCACAGAAACATCCTGATCCCACAAAATACTAACCTTTCAGAGAAGATATGACCTCTAGGAATGATAGGCGAAGCTTAGCCCTTGCTTCTTGAACCAATGATTCACAATATGTGCTGTCTTGAGTCTTGTTCATCAGAAAAACAACAGACCTGTGATAAATGAGAATGCTGTAAGTATTAAGTGACATCACATGTTCAGTCCAGGAATGCAAACAGTGGGTGATAACCTAACCCTCACTTTTATGAGGGGAAGCAGATGCCTGATGCAGTGTTCACTGTTCAACATTGGATTTTGGTGAAGTGTTAATGAAGAAATCTGAAAGATATGACAGGAAGATATGACAGGATCTGAAAGAACAGGCTGTGAATGCATCAAATACCAAGTAATACAAGGCCGAATAACTTATGTAACCTGGCTGTTTGAATGCATGTACCATCTTTTTGAAGAAGACGATTTACCTGGCTGCGTCGAGAGCACATGCAAGCTCTTCGCTGATGATGCGTAACGAAGGTGTATGTCGGAGCCGGTACCGAGATTGGCCGCAGGAAGCTCCAGCAGCATTTGGACGCCCTGGCGGCCTGGTCTCGCAGGTGGAATCTTCCATTCAACCCATCCAAGTGTACAGTGCTTCACCTGAGCAGCCAAAACGTGCGGGCGGAGTACACAATCGAGGGCGCTGCATTGACGACTGTTGACATAGAAAGAGACCTGGGAGTCCAGATGGACAGACTACTTAAATTCAAGGAGCAGGCGGCGACCGCCGTTGGCAAGGCCAACAGAATCCTCGGCCTTATCAAGCACAGCTTCGTCCACATCGAATCCAGGACACTTCCCCTGCTGTACAAGACGATAATTCGCCCGCACCTCGAGTACTGCAACCAAGTCTCGGGCCCGTTCAACGCGGCCGACATGAGGCTGGTGGAGCGGGTCCAACGATGGGCTACGCGCTTTGTCCCTGAACGTCGGCAGCTGCCCTTCGAGAAACGGCTGAAGAGCCTGAAACTTCCCTCCCTCCAGCACCGCCGTCGACGTGGAGACATGATAACCATGTTCAACATCATGCATGGACGCTCCGACCTGGACAAGGACGACTTTTTCTCGCCCGCCCCGAGTACACGCCACCGACTGAAGGTCGCCAAAGCCAGCGGTCAGCCGCGTCCAGCGTAACCATTTTGCCACCCGGGTCGTGTCGGACTGGAACGCCCTACCAGAAGAAATTGTCTGCTCGCCATCGACAAATGTTTTTAAGAACCGACTGGACAAGCACTGGACAAACTATGCCTTCATCGCTCCACAATAGAGAAGACTGCTGATGCTACCCAAGCTCTCTATGACGGATCCACCAGGCAATCCTAGTGCCTTCAATGACCCCCAAATATCAGGCATCAGGCATGAAATAAGGCCACTTTTCTGATTTTGGGGATGAATTTTTTGTATCCATATACAAAAGGTCTGATCACCTAGATAACTGATTATAAAAAGCAAATCAGATGTTAGATTTTGACCTCCAGATTTCATATCTGAAAGTAGTTCATGCCATGCTGCAATCAAGTATCCTGTAATTCCTGTATCAAAGCACCTGCACTCCATATGCCATTAGCCATAGGTATTGAATGGACAAACTCCAAGGTTAAATGAAAACGCATTACAGATGTTATTCCATTGTGTTATGAAAGTGAGGTCACAAGAATAAACAGGAAAACACATTATATACACATATATGATACACATAATAATACACATGATACAAATAATAAATGACAAATCACATCAGACATACTAATGCGAACTGTATGGCAATGTAATGCCCCATGGCCCATGCCTGAAAAAGTACATAGCAATAAGCATTGCAATATCCTAGGAGAGATTACAGATTAACCCACGCCCTGATGGGGTCTGCCGAGCAACGCGGTCTGATGGGGGGGATTTTGCCCCCCCCCTAAGATCTCGAGAACCACGCAACATAGCGACAAGCGGCAAACGGCGTTGGATAGCCCCAACAGGGAACTACCTTGTGACCCAATTTCATTGACCTCGGTCTAACCAATGACGTCACAGGTCAGGTCAAAGGTCGAATTTTCACCGTTTATAGGCATTTCAAGAAATGCGTTGTAAAATCGAGTAAAATGCATTTCATTGAAAATCTTCGGTGGGAAAATGTTCGTCAAACACACATTTTGCTATTTGAGGTCACTGATACCAGGTCAGGTCACAACGGTCAGGTCAATGAGGGTCACAATATATAAATATCATGTGATGCATGTTTTATGGTCCATTTTATCTGCCCAATGAGATTATGTGGGACAGGCAGCCTTTGGAGTTTGGGGTCAGTTGAGATTATGTTTTGGTGAAGGTCAGGTCAAGGTCAGGTCAAGGTTAGGTCAAATTAGGTCAAATTTCAAAGTTGATATTTTTGCATAAAATGGGTATCGATTCCATGCACCTCGTCACGGGGAGTTCAATGGTGGTCTTTGTTTTGCGCTACGTGGTCTAGAATTGCTAAAAATTAAGTTAAAAAATTGCAGTCATCAATTTTGAAGGTTTTATCACTATAGCTTGGCAAAAAAATATCTATCTAAAATTTGTTATGTATATCGAAGAGCGCAGGGACTACCACATGTATTCCTTTTTTTATTCGAAAAAAATGGAAATTCTGTGAGTTTTTCTTTAAAAAATCGTCTTTTATTTTTGGGGGTGAAAGAGATAGCAGTTTTGTAGCGTTGTCTTTTCTCTACCAACGACAAAAAGAACTTTAAAATTGCTTGTTAATTGTAGATTTGGTGAGCGTTTCAAGATGTCATGTTTTTTGCTTATTTTTAGTCAACATGACCTCAGTTTGATGTCAATAACTCCTGACCCAAGGTGACCTGTGGCTCAAAATTTTGTGTGAAGGTGTCAAATTGATGCCCGAGAAGGTATTGAAAATTTGAAAAAGGTACTGAAAACGGCGGCACTGCACGCCACCGTTTTCTTGCTATTTAAGAAAATCCACAGGGAAGGCAAAATGGCCCCCCATCAGGGCGCGGGTTAAGACCACTTAACCTAAAATATTTGATTGGCTGTTGCCTGCAATGTACTCCTTAAAGTGACTATTTTGTTATCCCCAGTAAGTAAACAGTAAACACCAGGTTAGCTTGGGTTAGATCAAGTTAGGTAATAGGTTAGGCTCTAACTTCTGGCTTTCTACTTCTTAAGTCAGTCCTATTCAGACTAGATGGTATTTCTAACCATTCCTCTTGTTTTTTGCAAAGATTTAGGTAATGATTCATATTTCTTTTAAATGTCAAAATAATAAAATTCAGTGATTTTCACTTTTCAAATAGGCCTTAAGCCCAAACAGAACTTGCACAAGATTATTTTTTATCACTGGAAATGTCAGGAAGTGGGTATGTTTCCTCAATGGCAATTGGCAGTGCTGCAAGTAATGTTTTTCTAGTGTCATATTCTGATTCACTCATCCATCACTGCAGAGTGCAGTGTGCTGTGATATTAAGGGGGATTATAGCTTGGTGTTTTCATTTTTTTCAAACATTTCCGCCACATGTTAGTATAATAATTGGATTCAGGATGTCAAATAGTGTAAGAATATGCAAAATTTTTGTTTGAGAATGGATCACGCTCTTTATAAGCATTGCCGCTAAATCCTCACACTTGAAAGAATACCATAAAATTCATACATCAATCGAAAGAGGATTTCATTGCGAACATCTGACAATGGTACAAAAGCAAGTTAATTGAACAAAACTCGCCAAAAATCCTTAAGAGTAGGTACCGACACTGACACACTCGTTCATCCAGCCTACTGCGCCGTTTTCGCAAATATTCCTACTACAAACGTCTACTGACCTGCTGCCCCTCTGACCATCGCCGGCAAGATTTAATATGACGTCATTGATATTAGGTATCTCGGCTATCGGCAGGTAAATCAGATTAGTTAGGTAACTGTGTGATAGCTTACTACCTTCAAATTAGGAGTAACAGGTAGCTTCGGTTGGTTTTTGTTAGTATTAGGCCAAGTGAGATAAGTTTGGCTAGAAAATCAGAACATTCGTTCGTCTTTTTGTGGTTCTTTAATGACGTCAGTTTGTGAGTATCAAAAATATATATTCTATACTAGGTTTCTTTTGCTCACTGTTTATTTTATTAGCAATCTACCGATTTTGCCATATATGGAAACTGAGTGCCCACATATATCGGCATCTCATTGGTTGCGAGCCTAGACTTCGGAAGTTCCACCAATGAGAAGCCGAAAAACTGCAGCATGCTGATGAAAGAAAATTGCAAGCGAACAGCGTTCGGTGAATTATTTACAGCGCGGCATAATTCAATCATGGATGAAGTATTCCTGGATAGGACACTCCCTATTCCCCAACACTAGCGCCGGCGACCAAGCGGCCGCCCTGGTGGCGGAGCTCCGAAACATCGGCGGCGAGTGCGTCGGCGGCCGCCGCACCGGCTTGCGTGCTAAAAACGCGGTAATGGAGGGCGAAATTAGCGAACTTTAGCTCATAAGACACAATTTCAAACACTTTAAACATAATTTCTAGTCCTTTCTTATCATTATTATGGCTCCATTTAGTCACTATCACATACGGAATCATTACCTGATGCCCATAAACTAAGCCGGTATTCTTGACTTGCCGATGCAATTTATCATCAAATATCATCGTTCCTCGGCAGTCGAACAAGCTCCTATTGATGATTTAATACAAATATTAACTTATTTTCATGTTATCGCATAAAACTTAACTTTATTCCAACATTGGCTCTTCGGCTGTAATCACGAACCCTCACTTGTCAGCAGAATTTAAGCAACTTCTTAAATCAAAACTGGGAAAAGAATATATCCATGACATTCCTCAATACCTGTTCTACCTGGTTCACAAAAATTTTCATCAAAATCGGTTATAGGTAAGTAATAAACGACAAAAGTATACAAAAAGACACGCTCCGCCCATAGCCCGCAATGCTAAAATGACGCCAGCGCCCTCGCCGTCGGGAAATCCGCCGCCGTCGCCGGGTGGTCGGAAAATCGGCGGAGTGTCCGATCCAGGAATACCTAATCCATGATTCAATTTCAGTTTTTACAGAGTTCAAGTTAGGTGGGTGAAGTCCATCCAGTCCATCGGTATATTATGAATAAACGATGGTTCTTGTGGTGTTTGAACTTCTGAATCAGTTTGCAATGTTTCTGCTGTAATTTGGTCGTATGAGCCCTTCTTGAAGCATCTTGAATCTTGGTATTAGGTACCCAAGATTCTTACCAGTTCTCTATATACCGTGATTCTTACAGATATCAATATTACCTGGTTTTACCTGGGTATTACACCAGTGTACCTTGTACAAGATTAGCCATAGTTTTGAGCACGAGTTGTTGCCTGTTTCAAATCCTATAAGGAGTCGTAATCATAATAACGCTTGTAGGTACGTCATGTCCGATCTGGGTTTTCAGGGTTCTGATTTCGATTTTTGGTGAGCGTTCTGGTCTAGGGGTAAGTTACTTACCTCAGGATTCATTGATTCAGGTTCAATTCCCGGGCAATGCATGTGGCATTGCTGCTGCTTAGCTGCTTGGAACAGTATGGGAGCTTCAGTTAGCACCTTGTCCACTGGTGCTTAACCCAAATCAACTAACCAACCATTTCATTTTTGATATCAATATTTGTTTTTATTAAAGATGATTTATTTATGCATTTGGGGCAGTGCAGGTCAGGTCAATCAGAAAGCATCCTGCCAGCTATCCTTTGTAGGTGTAAACAGTTACTGACATCTTCATAGCATGTTTGCACCAAGACTCAAAATGTTCAAATATTTTACAAGCATGAAGCGTTAAAATGTCACCTGAGGGCTGAGGTCACCAAAGGTCAGTGACCTTGACCTCTTTTTCAAGTGACCTTGTCACCTACCATGGTGCAGGGAGCAAACATAATTTCCCATGTTAGCACATTTTTAATCACAGAAGTCTTGAAACATGCAGATATATTTTATATTATTACCTACAGCAAGGTAAGGCAAGGTTATTATGAGCACTGACATAAATGGCGATTCTGGCCTGACATGGTCTTGGGAAGCAGGTCACAGGCCAAAGGTCATTTGGGTGAGGTTATTGAAATTTTTAGGGCATGTGTAAAATTGATTAGGTCGAGTAATGGAAGCTTTGTCGCTATCCACAGCATTTCTTCTTGATTCATTCGCGAAAAAGCGCAGGGGCAGTCCATCCGCCACCGCCCCCGCCCCCGCCCCCGCCCCCTATAAGTGTGAGGGTTAATTATTCCGCCCGCTGTCGGGCCGATCCATGGCTAGAGGGGAGAGGGCTAATGTTCGCGTTCTCTGCCTAGTTCGACCAGGGGCGTAGGCAGGGGGGGGGGCCACTGGGCCATGACCCCCCCCCTTGGGCGCCGAAGGCGCCCTTTGCGATTGGAGGGCGCCGAAGGCGCCCTCCAATCGCAAATGCAATTGTGATATAATCGAATCGAAAAACAATCGCGACTGGAGGGCGCCCTCCAATCGCGAATGTGTTTACAGGGAAAATACGGATGGAGGGCGCCCTCGGAGGACGTCCATTCCAAATACGCCCTCCAAATACGGTTGGAGGGCTCCCTCGGGCGCCCTCCAACCACATTTGTAGGCTGTAGCTCTCTAAGCGTAACGGTGGTCGCCTATGTAAGCCGCTGTCCTGTAAATAAGCGCCCTCTCACCCGAAGGCGCCCTCCTGTAGGTCGCCACCCTGCTACACATTGCCGCCCTTCTGCTGATCGGCGTCCTCATAATTATTGGCGCTCTTCTACCTATTGCGCCATCATGTGAAATTTTGAAGGCCGCCTTTCTCCCTTTTGGCACCCTCTTGTTCAGTGCCGCCCTCCTACCTATTGGTTCCCTAGTCCTTCCTGTTGAATGCTAATCGGGGCCCTTCTCCTATTGGCGCCCTCGTGTTGATCGCCGCCCTCCTAACCACTGGCACCCTCCTGTTGATCACCGCCCTCCTATCTACTGGCACCTTCCTGTTGACCAGCGCCCTCCGCACAGACGCCGTCCTGTTCGTGTCATCCTCTTGAGCAAAGGCGCCCTCCTCACCATTGCCACCCCCATTTTAATCGTCACCCTTCCGCTCATTGGCGACTTGCAGTTGATGACCGCCCTCCCACCTATTGGCGACCTCTTGTTGATCGCCACCCTCCTATTGGTGCTCTCCTGTTCCTCGCCACCCTCTTTCCTGGTGGCGCCCTCCTGTTGATTGTTGATCGGGGCCCTCCTACCTATTGGTGCCCTCCTGTTGATCGCTGCCCTTCTATCCATTGGCGCCCTCCTGCTGCTCGCCAACTTCCTACCTATCGGTGCCCTACTGTCGAAACTCGGGATGTTGATCGGGGCTCTTCTACCTATTAGCGCCCTCCTGTGGATCGCAGCCCTTCTACCTATTGGCAACATCCGTTGATCGCTGCCCTCCTATCATTTATTTACTCCTTTGGCATGTTCTTCAACTTAGTCGTTCTATTGCACATAGTTGATGTCTTGCCTGTGAAAACTGCCACAAATGAACGTGCATTCAGCACAATGAATGAAGTACCTATACCTACCAAAACTATCTACGCTCTACGATGCATAAAACACGTCTTTGGTCTTAACGGATTGATCCTACTTTACGTGCATCATGGCATCTATATGTATTACGATTAAGTATTGTCAACAGGTTCGGCCGCAACAGCAGGCATCTGAAGTTTCGGTGATTGAAACTGGTTATGTGGGTACACTGTATGCACCTGTGAGAAGGCTATGAAGGCTGGTCTGAGGTAATTTGGATGATGTTTACGCATCTCGCGCTCCGGTATCAATCCGATACGGTGATCTGGTGCGTAGATATGCCACCGCCAATAAACTTTTATACATCGACACCCATGAGCCAAGCTTTCTATACAGTTTGTGTGGCAGCGGCCCGACCAAACCTTAGGTATTTTTATACCTTCAAATTTGGTAAAAGAGCGAGAGGAGCTTTGAACAGTGATCGTATAAAAGGCGTGCCTAAAAAGCGGAGGAAAAGGTTGTTTTCAAAAATTTCGCGCGCCTTCGGCGCAGCATTTCAAGACCACTTGACCTTTTGTGACCTGGAGTATAAAGAATACACACGATGCAAAATCAATGCAGCACGACCTATACGAGGTTACGCAAAAAAAAAACTGGTGGCATGGTAAAAAACGCCTCCCAACCCCCCCCCCCCCCGTTGAGTGATTTTTTATCTCGCGACCGTATGGCGCCCTCCTTGGGTGAGGTGGCGCCCTCCAAACCCTTGGCCCCCCCCTTCGCGATTTTCTAAATACGCCGCTGAGTTCGACGTCTGACAGAACAAACATTCAGTAGACGCTGAACTGAAGCCGAGATGCCGACACGTTTCATGCCGGCGCGATATCGCCTATCAGCTAATGTTTCTTGGGGAGTGCATTCTTAGCTTCTTGGGGGTTGGTGGGGGGGGGGGGGGTCTGCTCAAGGCAGTCTGCATTAGGGCGGTGGGAGCGGTCCACCGGTATTTTTCCTGGCGATAATTGATACGGGCGCCGGGCGTGGTTGGTAGGAGTTTTGAGGAATGAGGAGCTTACTTGGTCCTGGTGTGGTGGGTTGAACGGACGTTATTTATGACGAAGAAAGACTTGCGCAGATGTAGCTTATCTTATACAGAAATTTGCTTACGAAGATTCGCTGACGAACATTGCGTAGGGGAAGATTTGACGATAGATATTTGACGATACAGTGGATGACGCAATTTGTGTCCTATTCGATCCTAGGGACAAATCAATTTTAACCCTCGCCCGTAAACGGCGATCTGCCACCTTCGCCCATGCAGGGGGGGGGTTGGTGCGACCCCCCCCTTGGCGTTTGAAAACGGAGCGTCGTAGAGCTTAGCGGAAAAAACCAACGGATTGCTCTCAACGAGATCTCGCGATTGGTGGTATATTTTTTGGTCCTAGGTCAACATTTGACCTACTTTTGACCGGTCAAAGGTCAAATTTTCGGAAAAATAGACTTTTTTCAATTTTCCGCGGCGATTGCGGCAAAACGGTGGGAGATATCGACTTGAAACCTTCACTATCGTGTTCCTTGATCAATTCTCTATCGTTTGGTATGTATTTCGTTTCCCTAGCTCTAAAAATGGCGCGTTGGGAGCGCCGGAAGTCGGCAAGGTCACAGTCGGCGGCAGAAATTCGAAAAATCAAAATTTAAATTTTTGAAATCTGATTGTATTTTTGGATTTGGAAGGTCCATTTGCTCCCTATAGCAGCTAATATTGCTGCATATTCCCATTGAGGTGACAAGAATTAGCGAAATAGTGGTTCGGGCGCTTTTCAAAAATAGTACCGGACGCTGTTCCTCTTCTGACGTCATAGCTCCGTGACCTGACCTGACCCGGTCAAGTTTCTTATACCACATGATAGCCAATACTTGCCCCAACATGCATGGGAAGTTTCATCACGATCCATCAACCGATGTCCGTACCACTGGCAGGAAACCTCGGGCGTTGGCACTCAGTTTGTGAAAATCCGGCCGGAGGCTGTTCCCTTTGTGACGTCATAACTCCGTGACCTGACATGACCCGGTCAAATTTTTTTTATCAAAAGATGCGCAAGGTTTGCCCCATAAGGTACCCAAAATTTGGCGGCGCTGCGCGCCGCCGTTTTTGCACTATTTCCGAAAAACCTCAGGGGGGGGGTTGCACCAACCCCCCCCCCTACATGGGCGAGGGTTAAGGACCAAGAAATACTGAGGCTAAGGTGTGAGAGTGTAAATAAAGGCGGACAAAGCTTTGCGCGAAGAAGACATGTGAGACGTGGATCGGTTACGAGATTGTGGATGTCTGTGTTGTTGTGTGGGAGAATGTTTGACAATAACATATGGATGATGGTTTTCTCCAGGCTCATCTTACCATCATGTTGAACTATCCAGCTGCACAAAGGAACACGGTACCGATCCTGGAGGCTCTGCTCCAGCATGTGTCCCGCACGGCCACCGGTGTGGCGCTTGAGGTGAGCTCTGGCTCTGGGCAGCACGTGGCGGCGCTGGCACGCCAGTACCCTTCTCTGCAGTGGCAGCCTACTGAGCTGGAATCCCGCCTGCTGGACAGCATTGGCCAGCACACAGCCGGACTGCCGAATGTGCGGCCGGCACGTCTGCTGGACGCTGCCGGCGACTGGGCCACCCAGCTGCCCGACATGGAGGCCCACTCTCTGTCGCTTGTTGTCAACATCAACATGGTGCACATCGCGCCGTGGCGGTGCGCGCTGGGTCTGATGGCGGGTGCCGGTCGGCTGCTGCGGTCCGGGGCATTGCTGATCACCTACGGACCGTACGCCAAGGACGGTTTGCTCACGCCTCAGAGCAACGTTGAATTTGACGCTCACCTTCGGGCCAAGAACGCCGAGTTCGGTGTTCGCGACATCCGGGAGCTAGAGAAGGCTGCGGCGCCGCACGGCCTTCGTCTGCACGCGGAGATCGATATGCCCGCCAACAATAAGACGCTTGTTTGGAAAAAGGACTAGTTGGCAGCTCACAGCTGCCGCATCGGTCTACAGCTAGAGGAGCGTTCGTCAGTGGAAATGTTGACTTGACGCATGTAAACGTCCAGTCGTCCAGTCTGGGAATGCTGTAGAACTGTTGTATCAGGGACCAGTGAGGGGAGCAACGGTTTTAACGCATATTTTTAGCCCAGCCTGTGGTTGTTTCGTGTTTGGAGTTAATTTTGATATCAGATATGCCTCGATTAGTGATTTTATTGTTAACTTTCAGGGAGTATTTTATATGTAGGTATGCTGTAATGAATGAAAACCTCTGAACTATGCGCGCTCGTAATTGTGTGCTAACCAGGTTGTGTCAAGTACCTACCAATGCCCACTAATGTCTGATCAGCTGTAACCACACGCTCGCAACCTACCCCATGTAAGCTCAAATAACGAATGTCCGTTCCTTTTTTCTGTTTGGTCACTGAAACAGGTCTGTTGCATCGAAACGGTTGACCTTTTGCCAAACAGCATGCCCCACTCCATAGTCCAACATCCAACTTTTGCTTCTTCTGGATAATGGTCAAGCGGTGGGTGCGTGGTAGGAAATGGCTTCCGCCGCGGATGTCCGCCAAACTCACGTACCTATGCTGTTTCTTGTAGGTGGAGGAAGTGTGCCTTTGAACTCGCCCAATACAGTTTACTCACTTTACTGGTCACAGCTCGTCTTTGACGGGGTCGGCAGGGCGGAATCGCCGACGACGTACCACGACACAGGGCGTGATGCAAGACCGTATAAGCCTGATGGAGGCATAGATGGATCCAGAAAGGTAGTATACCTATTGGCGCTCCGATGCCAGTGTTTCCTTGACGTGGCTGGTTGAAAGGCCCTGTTTCACGACATGCTGCTGCATTACGCGACCAGGTATTGGCACTCAGTTTCCATGAAAGGGTAAGCAGTATCGCCAATTTTTGCTTACATTTTTATAGGAACCGAGCGCCAATACCTGGTAGCATCAGGCATCGTCATACGCTGAAACGGCAATTAGGGCACCATAGGTATGCGAAATTCGGCTGACAAAATATAATAGTTGCGTTTTAGTCTCGATTGTTCCGGTAGTTGCCAAGCTATATCAAAGCTGCAATAGGCGAAAACGAAGTTGACCTCTTGATGTCATTAAGTGACATCTCCATTCTTCGGAGTGGCGGAAAAAAATCGCAGACAGCGAATCCAATGGTGGCGATTCGTTTCGATCGGCATTCGGCCCCTTGGATGACTAGTTGAAGAGGGAACGATTCATTGACCTCTCAATTTCACAGAGGGTACCTGAAATAACCATATTCAAAATGAACCATAAAATCGCGTATGGTGGTGTGATTCAAGTCATCTTTGTTTCCGTCGGCGTAATAGCCCCAACAAAATTAGACGGATGCGAAGGCTGGCAGTAGAATAGCGAACTCCTCATGCCCCTGCGAGTCAATAACACATACCTTGAAACTTTCAGAAACGTAATCATGCATGCGGTGGATACGTAAATGAGTTTACGCAGGATTATATATTGACTTGTTGTAGCTCCACGTGTTAACGACCAATTCCTGGTAAGAGCAATATGAATAAAATATTTAAAAAGTTTGTGGAAAGCCTGCTAATGACTTCTTTCTCTGCGTTTCAAATGTCACAACCGCGTCATACGGCTCGCCTACCGCGCCTACCCACTCTAAGCGATTTATTCAACTACCTAAAGCTTGTTAGTGATTGATATTTACTGTAGATTGTTTTGCAGGATGGATTGGTGATAACAAAGACAAATTAGACAATAGGGACAGTTCATCTTGAGTCTTATAACAAAAGATGGTTGTTTGCGATGTGGCGTCGTACTGTCCCCATGTCAATGTTTTCACGCTCTGGCCTCCACCCACCTTTTGCAGATATCAAGGCTGTATAAGAGGGTAACCACTGTCTGTCAGCTATGGCTGAAGAAATGGTGCAGAAGCTGCTGGATGGTCAAGCACTAGATACAGAAGAGTTTTGTGATTTTTCCCTTGAAGACCAAAATGAAGCAACAGGTAGGTACTTTCAGGGTGTGTCTGTTTGCCAGATTTATGCTCCTTAGTATACCTCGCCTGTTCAACAGCTTCATCTTCCTTGACCCGGGCTTAACTAATCCTGCTTTCTTTGTCCTGAAACATGATTATCGAGTCTGTTGTTGATCTACAAATGTACCCTCTCTGAACATTCATGAATAAATTACATGAACAGGGAGAGATTGCAACAACATTTATAATACCCTGCAGTCAATCAATTTCACATCTTCTCTGGAAATGTCATGACCCTGACCCAAATGCCCTTTGACTAATGACCTTTTGCTTGAGTCTGATAAATGTTGGCACACATTGCTGTGTGCTTCCTGGCTTTTCTCATTTTTTGCCAACATCTCATTTTTTGACATATGAAGTGCTCTTTGTCTTGTATATTATGGTGGGTTTTATGGTACATAAAGCTCAGGTTTATGACAATGACCTAGGTCAAAGTCCTTTACCTTATATCACTTTGGTTGACTTCTTTTAAGCTTTATGAGTTATTGGTATTTTATTTTTAGTTGACTTCAAATTAAGCACCTATTTGAACATAGTTTTGGTGCCTATGCAACATGTGAGACTTGGTGTTGATTTACACCCACTGATAATGGCTGGAAGGATGCCCATGGGTTGATCTTACCTAACCTGACCCATCTTAATGACCCATTTGGGTCATTGACTTGCCCTGGAAGGTAAATTAATGACCTAGAACCTTTATGTAGATTGGCTATCATTGCCTTCCTTTTGTCATGGGCAGCCCACGTGTCATTGTTGTGATGCTCTAGCCCAATCAGGGGCCAGGGGCAGGGCCAGCCTAGGCATCCCTCCCCCTGTGTGTTAGGTGTTGCTAAAAGGCCAATACAATACAGTCGACTATTGGGGGTAAAACATGCCATGAGATCAGATTCATTCATCAATAGATCCAGGCTAGATTGAGTTAGCAAGTCAAGGCAGGCTGGAAAAAATGTCCTGACCTGAATATACATCTGTTTAACATTAGGTCAGGAGGTGATGTCAAGAGACCTCACGCAAATAAAATATAAGTTTTTTAACTTTGCTCATTAATGCTAGGTGGGGTGGTGAGGAACTGAGGTATAGGGGACACAGCGCAGTTTGCCACTATGTGGTTGACAAGGGCCACTGCCTCGATTTTCCATAATAACCATTGACATTGTTTTACTTGATTTATTGTTTCAGGCTACAGCTGATTACAATAAATTTTCATTTGATTCTCTCCACAATGCTGATTTTTTGCTGCTGATTATTGTAAAGCAAGTGATATTCTTAACAGAGGAGCAATATTTAGGTCTCTGAGAGTAGTTTGTGTTAAAAAAAATAGAGAGAATCTTGTTTGTTTTTATTTTAACCATTCAGCATGTCTCATAAATGTAAATGCCTGTCATTTTTATTTGTTTGCGAGACAAAATGTCATTTGTGCTTTGGACATGCTGGAATATGTTCACAACTTAACTCATTGTTTCCTTCTTACAGCCGCAAAGGGCGTCGCTCCATCATCACCTTCCTCATTTACCCCTGAATTAAAGAAGAACATCTGCTATGTCGTAGCTGCGGCCATTGTCAACGATAAGGGAGAGGTGCTGATGATTCAGGAAGCCAAAAGGTAAGCATACTTTTGCTTGAGCTTATTGTGCTAAAAAAAATCAACTGGACATGATGTTTCAGATAAGTGAAAGTGAGATTGTGTCCTGACTCCTGAATATAATCTCCTACATCAGTATCGTGGCTAACGTCTCGAAGCGTAATGAAAGTGTGCCGTGTAACGAACCACGTGGCTCTGTACCGTATACAGCTCGTGCGCCGGCCAGTGGTACCTGCCGGCTGCCGCGTAGTAACTCTGTACCGCATACCACAGCTCGTGCGCCGGCCAGAGGTACCTGCCGTGTAGTAACTCTGTACCGTATACCACAGCTCGTGCGCCGGCCAGTGGTACCTGCCGGCCGGCCGGATGGAGGCCGGAGAGACGATCGCCGAGGCGGCGCGTCGCGAGGTGCTCGAGGAGACGGGTCTGGAGCTGGAGCCGACCACCCTGCTGATGGTGGAGACGGCCGGCGGCGCCTGGTACCGCTTCGTTGTCACCGGCACCGTCACAGGCGAGTCGTGGACTAAACAGCACAGGCTAGACTCACGGGTTAAACGGTACAGGCGAGTTGTGGGTTCAACGGCACGGGCTAAGTCACGGGTTTAACGGTACAGGCTAGTCAGGGGTTTAACGGTACAGGCTAGTCACGGGTCAAACGGTACAGGCTAGTCACGGGTTTAACGGTACAGGCTAGTCACGGGTTTAACGGTGCGGTCTAGTCACGGGTTAAACGGTACAGGCTAGTCATGGAGATTAAGCATCACGGTCTGTCACAGAGGCCAGTCACAGTTCGGGTCACTGGTCAAACGTCACGGGCCAGTCGCAGGCTAAACGTTACAGATTACTGGTCAGGTCAGTTACAGGTCAGTGATCATGTGACCGATCAGCTGTTGTCACGGGTTGTTGTCGGTCCAGTGTTGTTTAGTGTTCTGTCTGAAGTGCTATGTTCTATGTAACGGTCAGTTATCTCATATCTGATTCGGTGAGAGGTTCAGACGTACCATTCAGTTATCTGATGCTTTATGGTCCAGTACCAATCTGTTATAATCTGTCTCGCTGTACGGTCACTGTGCTGTGTATCGCTGCGGCCGTGCCGTGGTGTGACCGCCGCCTCCTTACCCACAGGCGGTCGGCTGAAGACGCCGGCCGACGCCGACCCGGAGTCGCTGCAGGCCCAGTGGGTGGCCGACCTGAGCGCCTACGAACTGCGCGCCAGGGACATCGAGCCGCTGGTGGAGCTGGCGCGCGCGTACCATGCGCGCGGCGCGGCCGCCTGGCACCCGGAGCGGCTGCCGGCGGCGCGAGCCCACCGCCGCCTACTGCTCCGACTGGTCGTCTGCGTCCGAAAACGCGCCAAGTGAGGACGGGGGCGGGAGCGAATCGGGTACTGCTTGTACTACAGCTTTTTACACAGCGTGATATTGCTGGTTACCTGATTCTTACATAGTTTGTTGTTCCATGAATTGGAATGGACGTTCTTTTTTATATAGCGAGTTTTCTGAATGACACAATTACCTTGGTGACGTCTGAATGGCTTTGTTCACCGAGCGTTCTGTCTGTTTCAGTAACCGGGTCAGTGTCCTGATGTCGGAGAAGACGTCTCTACACCTGCCCACATGCGAAATATCGCCGCCCCGTAGCATCCACTCAACGCTCAAAAAGTATATGACGGTAAGTTGTTGTTGCTTCACTGACCGTTGGCTGTGCCGGGGGCCCGGGTGCCGTCAGTTGACCTGTGTCTCGTGCTCTCAGTGCTGATTTTTTTCAGCGTTGACGCACGCTCACAGCGCCGTTTGCTTTGAAACATGGCCTGTGCTGCGTCTTGTGAGGTATAGTCTGTATTGTGTCCCCGAGGTCTAACTTTGACTAGTATCATGCGCCGACGGCCGAGGGTACTGACCTTTGCTGTTTGCCATGGATATCAGTATGTGTGTGTGTGTTTTTTTTTTTTTTTTGCTGCTTGGTACGACTTACTCTGCTACCTCTTTTTGCCCCGTCGGTGTTCTGACCCGTGCGGTGTATCGTGTTTCGTGACATCTGATCCATGTCACACACCTTGGTCCTTGGTCTGACCCGCCCGTCTCATTCCGCAGGAGATGTTTGGCGCCGACCTGCCGCCGCACCGGCCGGCCGGCGTGCTCTCGGTCGAGTACAGCCACCAGCCCGACCAGCCGGCCGGCCTCTGCCTCACGCTGCTCGTGCCCGTCCGAAAACCGCTGGAGGAGGTGCACCTGATCGACAAGTACCAGTGGTGCGAGCTGAACCGCGAGCTGGGTCACGCGCTGCTCGACCGGCTCGGCAAAAATCAGCTGGTGTCGCTGAACGTCATCAGGTAAGGCGCGGCGGCCGGACGGCGGCGGCGGCGGCCGACCACCCGCACTGCCGGCCGGTGTCGGGCACCTGCACAGCGAACACACCGACTGGCACGTGACCGCCGCCGCTTCAACGGAGACTGCCGGACGCCGAGGAACGAGAGGTGCATGCTGCTGTGGTGGTTGTCTTCCAGCCTGGAGCACAGAGCACCGCTGCCGGCCCGGGGTCGGAGGTGGCGACGCCCCCGGCCCCGCGGCCTCTCGCCGGGCGCCCGCCGGTGGCTCAGGCCAGCCACCGATCGGCGGGCAGTGCAACAGATTGGTGGTAGCTCTGGCAAACACGGGCCGACGCAATTATATTCCCAGGTGTACAACGACTTGCGAGCTTGCTTTGGCTTTATTTACGAAGGGACGAGGTTTGAGACTGAAGTAGGGAATTTAAGGATATTCCGACCTGGGATAGTTAAATTATTTGTTTTAGCAAATGAAATAGAACAGATTGAAGCCGTATATTTTAAAAATGTCAACGTTGCCAGTAACGTTAATCGTTTACGTGTTTGTGAACCGTGACCAATTTGTGCGTTCCCTGCGGGCCAAATGGCATGACTGATGAAAACTGGCTTTAGGTGGTAGCTACTATGCACTCTTCTTTCATCAGACATAAGAAAAGATATATCCGTGTGTTAAGGCCGCCGTCCACTGCGACGGAATTCCGTCCGGAGTCCGTCCGGAATGTCGCCGCACGCTGGCCGCATCCGGTCCGGATGCGGTCCGGATGCGATCCGGATGCGGAGAGCTAATAAATGTTTCCTATCACTTATTACCAAATAAAATATTGCAAGTAACCAGCAGCGAATACTCTTGCCATTCTAAGGAAATAATTTTTACTTACTTCATGATGATCGAGTTCCAATTATTCGTACAATTCACAATGTTTGCCTCCGATACGGCCCCAAACCACGTCTGTTCCGGACGTTCCGGATGCGTTTTCCGCAGAAAAGTTCAACGCGTCGGACATCACTCTTCCGTCTCCGTAGCAACCGCATCCGAAACGCATGCGGAGAGCTGACGGAAAATCAACAGCTGATTGCCGTTCGGATGCGGTCCGGACGGAGCGCACACGATTTCCGTACGGACCGGATGCGCCCATAGGGTTCTGTGTTAAATTCCGTACGGACCGCACGCGTTCCGCACAGTGGACGGCGGCCTTTACAGTTACCACATACATATATCTATTTGGTGGATGATTATCTGCACTGCTGCTGGATTCAGCTCGCTTCGTCGTTGTATATTCGTTAGCCGACGGGTTTCAGTGGTAGCCGACCCAGTCTGTCTGCCTTACATGCCAGTAGGTTTTAGTGTCGGGATCGTCTGCCTGCTCAGTCGCTATGCACTCCGATGGGGTTTCATGCCCCCCAAGTGGCGGCCTGCACAGTGCCCACTTGTGTTGTTTCCTGCCAGTAGAGTACTGTGTCGTCGGCAGACTGTCCCGTCCGTGTATATTTGTTTGTCTGACGGCGATGTTAGTTTCCGGACTGAGACTGTCTGTTCGGTCCCTATTCGCACCATGTCTGCTGATGGGTTTCAGCGCCAGGGCCAGCGAATCGGTGGCGTGATGCTGGATCGGTCTCCAGCTCCGCGGTCGCCGTTCGTTCGTGGCCCGTATGGGATTCTGCCGCCGCTGCTCTCAGTGTACTCTCAGCACCGCTCACCAGCGGTGACGGCTGTACTGTCCGTCTCTGCCGCCCGCGAGTGTCCTGCTATCCCTGCGGTAATGTTGTTACGTTTCCGTCCATCTGCTGTGCTGCGCCCTTCGGCCCGTATGTATATGATTGTAAAGTGTATGCTGTATATTTCTGTGTGTGCGGGCCCGTGCCTTCTGCGGCGCGCGCTGGACGCTGGCCCGTCGCGTGGCGCCCGCGGTCGGGTCCCGCGCCGCCAGACGGCCCGTCGCCGCTCGCTCTTTGGTGGTAGGTGTCGCTACTAATTGGACGGTGTGCCGGCGGCCGGCCGTTTTCGCCTCGCTCAAGTCGCTAATATATTTTTACTTTCTATATGACTTTTGTTTTGATTGTGGGAATGGTGCATCCGCCCATGGTCCGGATGTTGGGTCACTGTCACTGAAAGACAGTGACCCAACACAACATCACTGAAAGACAAAACAAAGTAAGTTAATTCATTTATCACAAATTAATGACGAGCACAATGCGAGCAGGGTTAAACCCCCGAATCTGTCGGAGATAGTGACCTGCTCAGACGACCTGGAGGATGGGCACTGAGCGCACAACTGTGGGAGGCGGCAGTGGCACATCACGGCAATGCAGCGGAGGCGTGACCCCCATGCCCTGCGGACTTGTCTCTCTTCCCCGACCGGTTACACGCACAGTTGACGGAGACGCAGATTACGTTTCGTGGGCAGGTCACAGAGGCAGTTTGTAGCGGCGCACGCAGCAGTCCCGGCCGGCCGTGAACAGCTGCCGTCCGTTGTCGCTCAGACCGTACACGGGCTCACAGTCTGGTCCGCAGAGTACCACGGTGTGCGGAGGGTCCGCCCGGTCACCGTCCGGCGGCTCCTCGGTGTGCACGGTGCCGTCAGCGCGCGCCACCAGCAGCCGGCTGGAGACGGGCCGCAGCGCCATCACGGGCGAGCACGAGCGGCGGCCGGCACCCAGCTGTCGGCCGGAGCGCACCTCCAGCCAGCAGACGGAGCCGTCCCGGCAGCCGGCCGCCAGTCGGCCCGGCGCCGGGCAGCTGAGCGCCGTGACGGCGGCCGGCAGCTGCCAGCTGGTCAGCTGCCGTCGGCTGTGCGCGGCCACCAGCCGAACGCAGCCGTCCTCCGAGCCGACGGCCACCAGCCGGCCCTCCGTGCCCACCTCCCGCTCATCTGCCGAGGCACGAAGGGATACCGTCAACCAACTGAATGACATAGTCAGCTCCAGGACAGACAGAAGGACGCTGTCAGCTCCAGCAGCCGGACGGAGAGACGGAGGAACGCCACAGTCAATCCACGGAGGGACAGCGTGACATCGTCAACTCACGGGACACGGAGGGACGGAGACTGACCGTTAACCCACTAAGGGACGGAGGGGTGCCGTCATTTGTGGAGGGGCAGAGGAGCACCGTCAACCCTTTGAGGGGGAGGGAAACCCACAGGACAGTCGGACACTGGCATTTCAAGGATGAGACACAGACAACTCAGAGGTACGGAGGGACAGCCAACGGGCCGCAGTTGAGGTGGCCCGTTGGCAGTTCTTTCGCGACGTCAAAAAATCTAGCACGTTAGGCGGGTGCAACTAGACATAAACATTAAACAGCTTACAGGCGAACTATGACATCATGATATCCGAAGGGTGCACTACGGCTTCATGGCTTAGGCACCTGTTTCATCACATCGACATTAATTTGGGTTCAGTGGGCAGCTACCGACATCCGCAATCCCTCATCAGCAAGGCTAACCGCATCACTTTACGTTGGACCCCACGTCGGACCGTCCCGTTCTCCGGCTAGGCCGCATTGTAGCTGGGACACTCACTGGGCGGTTCGTCGCGCGATCCGGGGTCCAGGCCGTCGGGCAGGTCCGTCAGCAGCACGCAGTTGATCACAGAGTCGATCTCACACAAATCGGCCAGACACCGCTGCTCGCCGACGTCCCAGAGCTTACAGCGGCCGTCCCTGTCGGACCAGACCGCATGTCATACGCCAGAGTCAGAGGACCAGGCTCGCTTCACACGCAGAGAGCAACACGGGGCGAGATCAGCACACACTTGGACAGACTCGAATAGGAAGAGATGCTGAGACCGCTGACTAGACTATCTCACACAGGTCGAGGCGAGGGACACCAATTCCGTTCACACAGCAGAGTGCGGGAGCAGAGCAGCAGAGCAGAGTGGGCCAGCTGTCCCATGGTTCACTGACTGACCTGCCTGCCGAGATGATGTTCCTGCCGCGATCGACGATGGCCGTGGCCAGCACCGCGCCCGTGTGCCCGCGCAGAGTGGCCGCGCACTGGCCCGTCTCAGCCGACCAGATCTTGAGCTGCATGTCCGCGCCGCCGCTGAGTATCACGACCCCGGAGGGAAAGAACCGGCAGGTGTAGACCTCGCCCAGGTGTCCGGACAGCTCCCGCTGCCGGCGGGTACGGGGGTCAGAGATCAACGAGATCACCGACGGGAGGGGAGGAAACAGACCAGGAGATAACGGAAAGGTCAGGGGAGGTATTGAGACACCGGGGATGCCAGAAGACAGACCATGAAATACCGGAACAAGTTGAACTAAGTTGCACAATTGCACAACAGTCACGGATTGACCGTCAGTGATCAGTTTGTGATCAATACAGTCCTCTAACGGTTACTGGTTCACGTACCCGAACCTCTCCGGTGGCCGACTCCCACACACGCAGGGTCTCGTCAGCGGAGCAGGAGACGCCCAGACCGCTGGCCGACACATCCACACCGGTCACCTGAGGGTGTCAAATCCACACCGGTCACTAGAGGGTGTCACATCCACACCCGTCACCGAGGATGTCAAATCCACTCTCGTCGCCTAAGGGCATCATATACACCGGTCACCTGGGGGCACCACATATATACACCAGTCACCTGAGGTATCATCCAGTCCCCACAGGTCACCTAATGGTTTTGCATATCAGGCGACAGGGGGCACTGTATGTTGGCTGTCAGAAGGAGAAGCCAAATCGGCCGCCAGAGGACACCCTACGTCAGTAGATAGACGCCACGGCATGTCGGCTGTACGTCGACTAGTAGAGTCACAATACATCGGCAGCCGGTGATCTTTTGATGACATGAACATCACTGAACGGCCCTGACCCGTGCCCGACTCACGGCCTTGAAGTGCAGGGCGCGCAGCTCGGCGGCCGGCAGCAGGTGCCGGTACACGGCCGGGCTCGACTGGTGGCCCACCTCGAGCGCGTCGGCGCCGCAGCGGCGCGCCCAGAACCCGTCCGAGCCGTGCACGGCCGGCTCCTGGTCGGGCCCCGGCGGCGCCGCCTGCAGCCGGCCGTGCACGCTGGCCTCGCCTGCAAATTCGGCACACGCAGTACGCACTGTCAGTAACTTTGACAGCTGCTATTCCACAGACTGCAATGGCAATGCAACAACTGCTGTGCACCCAATGGTGCAGCAAAATTTTGCTGGTATTCCCTGTGAGTGGCATCCTGACTTAAAATCCTGGTTTCTTGTTTCACAATACCATTGCCAAAATAGCTTAAAAGTCTGATATTGTTGGTAGGTAGCATTTTCTACCATCCAGGCCCCACAATACCTTCATAGCAGTTCATGGTAAAATTGAAACTCCTTAGAACAGAGGTAATAGATACTGAAAAAGCAAATCATATCCTCCTTAACATTAACACATGACTTACCAGGCTGCTTCAGAGTAACCCAAGCTGTTTCACCATTTCTGAAAAACAAGTTGCTGGTCAGCTCAGCCTGCTGAGAAAAGGAGCAGGGTAACATGAGCATGTCTAGTTGGATTTACACAGCAAGCTCAGCTTTGCATGATGAAGACTAAAACTGCACACAAACAAAGCAACAACTAGTCTGTTCACAAAAAAATAACAGGGAGCAGTATTGTAATGCAAGCTTTGACCTTTCAGCTGTTCTTTGCAATTGAATGAAATGCAGGGAAGCTATTTCCACCAATTTGTGATATTTTAACTTGTGTACATATTAACACAAAAAGCCTTCCTCATACAGTGCGGTAATAGCAGCTTGCCATATGACCTAAGCCAGTATCAAGTAGGAAAGCAGGCATCTTTGGCAACCAATGAGAGGCACTATACTCAGAGATGCTTCTGTAGGCAGTAGGTTTGTAGGTTTGTAGGTTGTTTGTAGCCTGTAGGTGCTAGGTTATGGGTTATAGGTTAGGTTAGGTCAAGTTAGGTTTGTTTTGCTTTGGTTTGGGTAGGAGTAAGCATCTTCAGGTATAGCACCTCTCCTTGCTTGCAAAAACAAGTATGATGCCTGCTTTACTACTACCCCTAAAAAACCATAAAACCACATGATCGACATGTTTAATAGCATGACATGCTTGTGTACTAGTCTTGAAGGTTACTGGCTGTTGAAAAATGTTGACACAATCTAAATTTACTCTGAAATACATTTCAGAGTCCTTTACCTGTGCATGACAATTCCAACATATAAAAAGTCAATTAAGAATAATAGGGACTATAAAATTTTGGCACTCAATAGTTACTGCCCAAATTTCACAATTTAATTTGATATTTATTGCATCAATCAAATTCACTGTCCCAGCATTGTCATCTTTCTTAGGCACTGACCTGAAAGCATCATTCCAATTCTCCTGGAGCAGTATCATTTCAACCCAATTCGTTTCAGATAAGCGCGATGCTTGTAATGAAAAACTAAAAAGGTGAACGAACTTGATGTATTGTCGAGTTTGAGCAGTATTTACTTGCTAAATAGCCAGGGGCTTGCAAGAAAATCGCTCGAACAACTCATCACATCACTCTGCACAAATTCATCGTGCGTGCGCCATGCTTGGCATATTTTGTAGCGAATGCGTCAGGTATGTGTGTTTCTTACTGGCATTTTTTGGCAAATTGCTGCCATATTAAAACATTTTCGAGGAAAGAGGAACTGAGAGGAGATTAACTTTCTAATGATGCCTGTATTTATTGTATTTTCTTACCTTTTCTATCTTTTACCTTATTTTTGTGGTATTAGTAAGGTACTCTATTTTATTTAGAAACAAAAAATGAAGGAAAATTTCATGTCTGCTTGTATCAAGGGATTTGGTAGCCTAAATCTACTACCCAGCATACTTGCTTGCTTATGTTGCCATGGAGACAGGCCTACAACCGTAAACAAATGTGAGTCGATTGAAGGAACGATTTCAATTTGGTGCCGGTTCGGGTTGGAAAGCTGTGTGCAGTGCCCGTAAAATTAATTAACATGTCACGAGTTGACCATAGCTGTTGGCGTTGAATACTCCGTGGCTGGTAAGGAGGCGTGCAGCTGCTGATCAATTGACCGGTTGACTTGTTCACGTAACCTGTAGAACCGTTTCCATGGATGCCACCGTGGACCCGGACCTTAGCCGGAAGTTAATCGATTTATCCATCAACTAAAGCGACGCAGAATCGAGGAAATCTGTCGTTCCATGCAAGCTTCTACAGGCGCTCTCTGCCTGTGCGTCTGGATACAATGAGGTAGGTTAATCGGCATCAAAACAGAGTAGTTTGTATCTATTTTGTAAGTAGTTTCAGTTGTTTCAGTAGTTCAGTAGTTTCGTAAGTATTACAGTTGGGGCTGTTGGGGCTTGCTTGAACAGGATATGAGTGGACAGTCGCACATTGTGATTCTATTGCGACTTGCAATGAATACCCGGTTTTCGCAATTCGTAACCTGAACTTCTTTTGATAATTATCGCACGATATTCAATATTTTATCACTAAAACCTCCATTTCGTAATGCTTAGGTTAGTGTGCGTTATCTATCGGTTTCTTCCCCCAACATCATCCCCCCGACATTGCAGCGAATCGAGCGAACCGTTGCAAGGACAACGTATACCGAAAGCCCATGCCGAAATTATGTCGATATTTGCATTTCTTGGCGGCTGATTCGGTAGAAATGAACGTCTGTCGAACGCATTTTTTGCTCTGATCCGACAGGCTAGCCGGGCATGGCCAATGACGACGATTACGACTTCTCCGGCGTGTCACAGCCCGGCCCCTTCGACATCGAATCTGCCGTGCTCTCACAATGGAGGGCACAAAACGACGACGAAGAGGACGACGATTATTCCTATTTTTGTGAGCATTTTGTTACATCATATTGCTAAGCAGAGGCCTCTTGCACCAAAATCCTCTGGCACCAATCCTTTGATTCTCTTACACCTCACACCCTTAACCCGCGCACCGACGGGGGGGGGGCGGATATCCGCCCCCCCTGAGGTTTTTCGCGGATAGCGGAAAAACCGCGGCGCGTAGCGCCGCGAAATTTGGTATGACTATTCTCTCATCAATTTTACACATGGTGTGCAAGTTTGAACCTCCTAACTTTTAAGGTCAGGTCACCAGGTCACTTTGAATGACCCAACCTCAAGTCACTTTTTTGCAACTTTGTCACCGTGCCAGAGCTACAGTAGATGTCGGAGGCCTTTGAAAGTCGCAGGATGTTATTAGGTCATTAGAAGCTACAATTTGTATATCTCGGAATTTTGATGTCGGTGACCTAAGGTCAGGTCAATTTCGCGACCTCCCCATTATAAGTCAATGGGGGAAAAATCAACTCCCTGTTTTTACCACTAAAACGGGTCGGAATGGCCCCATATACCATACATGACTTCACATACGATCAACCTTCACTACCTTGAGGTCTGTTTTGCTGTTGGGCAGCTGTAAGGTCATGTGACGTCATCAAAGGTCACCAAAGGTTTTTTGCCAATAACTCCTTACAGGAACAAGATACAGCCGCGCGGATGGTCTCATTGTGTTCAGCTCGTCAAGACGCATCGAATGATATACATGATGACCTCGAGGTCACGTGACCTGAGGTCAACCTTTGACCTTGACCTTTCGAGGTCAACATATACATCATTCGATGCGGATTGACGAGAGGATCACGATGATGCCCTTAGTTTGTTCCTATCTTGACTACTTCGAAAGTTATTCGAGAAAAACCCTCTCCATATCTAGCGCCGCCATTTTGACTTTTTCGACCCCTGTGACGTCATCTTTGACCTGACCTGAAAATGACCTTTGTAAAAATTGTAGACCTTGTCCGTGCGTATCCGATGCCGTTTACCGCTTGTCGCTATCTTGCTTCGTTCTCGAGATCTCAGGGGGGGGGGGCGGTCATCCGCCCCCCCCCGTCGGTACTAAGTTGGCGCAGACCCCCGTCGGTGCGCGGGTTAAAGACTACCGTGACAGTTTCCCGATAAATTCTACCGGGCTTCTGTAGGATTACGTTATGAACTGGTGCAAAAGAATTTACCAGCGTAGGTTAGTTAATTGTGATTTTAGTCGATTCTTCCTACTCAAGCAGAGGCCTCGCGCACCAAAATACTAGGAAGTTCCTAGTATTTTGGGGCGCGAGGCCTCTGCTTGAGTTTCTCTTATGCCTACAGCTGCATCCACCCCGCTTTCACGTGCCTTTACACGGTCTTTGGAAATCGAGTAACGAAGACCATCTGCATTGATTTCCGTACTACTTGTATGAACTCAAGGTAGCTTGTTGCTAATAAATCATTAAAATGAAGGACAGGAAAGAATGAAAATATTGACAGCGACACAGGTTTTCCGTCACTTCTCCCCTTTCCACGGCAAGTTGAAGGGGAGCGTGGCCATTGTCTGATCTGTTTGTTATTACGCTCAGTGGGGTCAATCCACAGGGAAGGAGAAGGGCAATTATCCAGTCCCCGATTTTCTGAACTACCGAATTACTAAAACAAAACAGTTTATCGCGATAAATGAATTCAAACCCTTGCGGATGCCCCCTCGGTTTATCGGTGAATATCTAAAAACTAAGCGCCGTAGCGCCGCCAGTTTTTTGAACACATTTAATTATTTTTTCGCAGTGACTTCCTCAAACCAAGTCAGGTGAGGTCCTGTGTCACGGTAAGAGACCTCACTTATCACTACGATGGTCGATGAAAATTACATGTTCGTACTCGTTCTTACTCGTTACACCAATTGAAGATTGGTAATGGTATTATATGTAGGTGGTACTATCAACAATTTGATAATGGCGACATATTATATGAACTTACGTACAATGGCCTTGTGTACATCTTGGACTTTGTATGCCAATGTCATAAGATCAGGTAAATTTTGTGACATTTTTTATTATAGGTGAATGGAAGCAATGGAATGAAACGAAACTACGCTGTTTATGACGGATGTCATTTTTACACCAAAACATCGAGTTTTAGGTATAGGTTTTTATTGAAAACTGAATCGGGAAATTGCGCATTTGACCATTCAGAATACCTTTGAGGTCATGAATAGCTCACTACCAGTTCTTTTCAATGTGTTCTGAAGCTCCTTCAGCAGTCAGCTGCCTAACTAGATAACATTAAATGATGAAAATGCTACTGAAGGAGATAACATCATGTTATGCCGCTAGCACCTATACGGCTAGTGATACTCAATAAAGGCCGGGAGGATCAGAATCGTGAGGCTCTTTACTGATCAGTGATCACTCTCCTGGTCTCTCCGTTCACCCTAGTCGACTCAGATAGTGCCTCGGCGCAGTTCAGGCAGTGGAACGGGTCGACCAGCTGGACGGTCGTGGGATTTCAAACCGAGACAGCAACGATTAGCAGTCTGGTCAACCACTTCATTGAACAAGGGCCTAAGTCTGCCTGTCTGTCTGAGTCTTACTGGGTCAACCACTTTCGAATAAATACTCGCCAATTTATTCGTAGTCGTATTCGGTAACATCGGTAGAAATCATGCTTGGAATGCTGGTTCCATAATAGCCGTTTTCAGGACGGGCTATCCGGCGAATGCACCTGATTTGACCAAATCTGCACCTAATTTCTTTTATAGTAAATATCTTCATTTTATAAATTTAGTTCAGTGTTTTAATCGATGATTCTCTCTGATAATATGACAAAGCAGGCATATAAACAATTACTGCAACCCTAGCTGATAGCTGCTAAGAGACACACTGAACCTGATTTGACCAAATCTGCGCCTAATCTCAGATTAGTAATCTGTACCAGATGTGCACCAAATGTGTACCAGATGGCCGTCGTGAAAACGGCTAATAGCCGTTTTTACTACGGGTTATCTGGCGAGTGGCAAATGCACCAAACTTGACCAAAATCTGCACAAAACCTCTTTTTCAACTAATATCTTAATATTAGGAGTTTTTTTTTCCAATGTGTTAACCGAAAATAATGTCTGATAATGTGAAAAATCAGATTTCCCCCATCCCGATCCCCGATCGAAAAATCTCGATTTTCCCGACTTTTGAGTCATTGACTAACCTCAGAGGTCACCATTTGACCTATGACCTTGAAACCAGGTACCGTTGGCTTCGCCTCGTGACTATCTACACGATGTTTTTTTCCTCGAGGCTCTAGCTCAATTAGGGGCCAAACGCGAGGGGGGAGGGTCGCACCCCCCTTGTGCCGTCGAAGGACGCAAAATGGCCTGTGCCGGCGAGGGTTAAACTTACGCAGTTTCAATGGTAAACATAATTATCAGATATTTAAATTCAAAACGCCGTTTTATTTGATTAATTCGTATTTTGAGAAGATGCACCATGTAAATAGCTGTAACGGTGAGGTAACTGTGTGTGATAAATATTAAAAAGTACGTCCGTACTCGAGAGACACTCTTGATTTTTACATGAATTGACTGATTCTTCTTATGGTCAAGACGTGGTCTATTTCTGAATTACATGATTTGATCAATATGCTTTTTCAGGGCCGGACCAGCTCCCATATGACATCGAGGAAAAGCTGCGCGAAATCAACAAGGTTCACCAAGAAGACGAGACCCCCATAGAAAGCGACCGACCACGAAAGATAACGTTCAACTCGCGTGTGCAGATGCGGGCGATTTCAATGCGACGCATCCCGCCGCCAGCCGGTGAGCCCAGTATTGAGTGCGCACAGTGCGCTATGCAGCCAGCCGTGGTGTTCGTAGGAACTAGGAAGTGCAGTTCAAAAAAGTGTTCAGGTCGTTTATATCGGAAAAAAACTAGCTTTTAATTTTTGATCATTTTTTTATAAGTTAATAAGTTTTTTTATAGTTAGAAAGATAAAGACATTGAACAAGTTATCTCACTTACTCGTACACGAGATAAAACGTGCCTGCATGCCTCGGTATTGAAAACAGCATTTTGTTCTAAATATCCATTGAACTGGCCGCTTATTTCATAACAGCTTTATCTGTTCCCTGTCTTACTTTTTCATTGTCATCCATTTACTATGAAACTGTGTAACTTCCATGTGAGTCAGCATCTTTCTCAGCCTCGCTTCTTTTTCGGCGTGGGTACAATGAGCACCATGTCTTTGTTTACCGTACCGTGTATCACAGTAATCGCCTCCGGGTTCAACTTGTCTTTCAGCTTGACGAAGTCGCTGCTGACCTCGATCTCGGACAAGTCCACCAGGTTGACGCTGGCCTTGGGCAGGGCCCTGATCAGCGCCAGGGCGCCGACCGGCGTCACGGGGTTGTGTCCGATCCAGAGCTTCTCCAGCGTCTGGTTCTTGGTCAGGCCGAGGCCGATCGGCTTCATGTTGTTGTCGCTCAGCCGGTTGTGCGACACGTCCAGCTCGATGATGGCCGAGTTCTTCTTGAGCAGGTCGCGCAGGGCGACGGCCGTGTCGGGTCCGAGACTGTTCCAGGCCAGCTCCAGGCGGCGCAGTCGGGTGTTTTTGCGCAGCCCGAGCAGCAACTCCTTGGCCGACTTGGAGCGGAAGGTGTTCCAGGAGAGGTCGAGCGCCTCCAGGCCCTCGCTGTCGGCCAGCACGCCGCCCAACAGTTTGCCGCACTCGGACAGCTCGTTGTGCGCCAGGCTGAGCGAGCGCAGGTTCAGACTGATCTCTATGACGGCGGCCAGCGCCGGCGCGTCCGAGTCCAGCAGCCGGCAGTGAGACAGGTTCAGAGAGGTCAGCGTGTAGTTGTTGCTGAGCATCACCTGCAGGCTCTTCAGGCCCGGCCCGGTCAGGTTGTTGCGGCTGAGGTCGATGCTGCCGATGAAGCTGTTGTCGTTCATCATGGCCTGGATGTTGGGCAGCACGTTCTCCAGCAGTCGGTTCTGACTGAGATCCAGGCTGGTCGCCGTCGTGTTGTACGCCAGGGAGTGACACAGAGGCAGCATGTCCAGTCGCGCCAGCCCGTAACTCTGCATCCGCAAATCTTCCGCGTTAGTTTCGAGCGACCGCAAATACTGACTGATGGGCACAACGCCCAGCTGTTTGCATGCCAGCTCGTACGTTACTTTGGGATTCGATATTGCTGGTCGAGGAAACAGCTTCTCTCTGTCGGATAGATCGCTGTAGTCTGGCTCCGGAATGGGTTCCAGCAATAGAGACCTGAGTGGCACCTGTCCAAAGGCGTCAGCGATTTCCTGCGACTCTATTTCGACAGTTGGGTCGTCGGTGTCCTGGAGAGCCTGCGTCGTATCGGTATCGATTGTCTCATTTTCACTGTGTTTTGTCTCAAGTTCAGTGTGAGTTGTTTCAATTTCAGTGTGTGAACCGACCTCCGACTCAGAAACTTCACTAAGCTCTGTGTCGGCCTGGGATCCGCCATCGTTCCTCCCGTCAAATGAGATTCTTCGGGCGGCTGGGTCGGTCTCCGCCGTTTTACCAGAATCGCCATTTTCGTTCCTAATCGAAGCGTCTTGAACACTTTTAACTTTTGTGTTGCTCTGGGTAGGTTTTTGTTTGAGATCCGGGTTCGTCACTTGAATGTTTGGTAATTCCGATTCCTCGTGCACCGTTTCCATCGTTAGACTTTGCGGTCATGTGTTTATATTTATCTTTCACTGTTTTTTTTTTAACATTTATGACCTGCTACATGAAGCGTTTAGTATAAGTTTATTTGAATATTGACTTCAATTTTATCATTGTGCATCAGTTACGCCACATTTGTATTCATTGCATTGGTGCAATGCTCGCTCAGAAACCGAAAAGCGCAGACACGTGTGCTGGGTCACTGAAGAACCTCTGTTTTCGTTAGATCGGAGGCCTCTTGCACCAAACTACCTAGCTAGGTAAAATCGAAAAACCGGTTTCAGAATAAGCTAATCTAACGGTGGTAAATTTGTTTGCAATAGCTCAATACATAATCCTACATGTGCTTGCTAAATTTTGCACGCAAATTGTTACATTTGAGACTTGGACAGGAAGTTGGACTGGGTATACGATGCAAAATAATCCAAGCATTGGTGCAAGAGGATTTTGGTGCAAGAGGCCTCAGATCTAGGGACCATCAATGCCCAGTCACTCATCATATTCGATTTTCTTCATAGGTTCTCGGAAAGGCTTGGATGGTTCTCACTCGGTAAAATAGGCGTTTTGGGCATTTCCCTTTGAGTATGGTGAACACTGGGCCCAGTAGACAGGTTGCCTAACGGGCGTTAATTCGGGTGACCGCAATAAGCCATGAGAGACGCCGTGCGTAATACGTATTAAAGGGACCCTCCCACCTTCAAAAAAGTTTATGAATTGGCATGAAAGTGATGTCGCTCGGTTCAGAAAAAGCGAAAACGAATATCTACCAAATTTCACCGAAAAATATTCACCGGTTTTCAAGATATTAGACTTTTACTTTTGTTTACTTTTTGGGATCTCCGCTGTTCCTAGCGACTTTAGTTTATAAGCAATAGTTTGGCAGCTGAAAGTGCGGCACTTGTTGCGCGCAAAGCAGCATATACCACCGCGTGCTACAAAACGTTTTAGTCAAACATTTAAAAATCGTTAGATATCTGCGCTGACGTCACACATTCAGAGGGGTATTCCTATGCATTAGCCCCTCTGAATCAAAATGCTGCAATTTTGAAATTCAATATTTCCGATTTAAGGCATTTCTCGATGTTGTGAGTGCCGATACCGGTAATTGTGAGCCAGGGACCCCATTTTGGCTATCTCAACTCAAATCTAATGTTAAGGTGGGAGGGTCCCTTTAAAACGAAAACGCCTTGATTTGATTTCATCAATGTGGCGTAGCTGTCATATGTACTTACTATATAGAGGCCTTTTCAGCTTATACCAAAGTGATCGGCATGTGTCGACTTTGGTCTGTTGTGTGCGAAAATTTAGATTGTGTATTATTTGTATTTCAAACGATTGATGGCGGCCTTTAAAAAGGTACTCGAGCATTCAATGATGAACTATGTAGGCCTTATCCGACGCTACCTGATGAGCAAAGTCGTTAAATGCAGCAAATGTCCTTTTTGCTTTTTCGTGCTCTGTTCCTATCGACATGCCAATGTAAAACTGAAGATTTAAAACAAGTGATCGATCGAGAGACGATACGAGGGTGCCTTTCCCTTTAAACAGTGCTAGCTTTTAAATACATTCCTGTCCTGTCTGACTTATATGTAACTGCTTTGTTTTGACATTTGCAAATACCCGTGTTTACCCCATGACGTGTGCCCTTTTCAGAAAACACTAGTGACGAGCCGTTCGATTTGAGCAAGTACGATACTGATGAAAGTGTCGATGATGTGGAGACGTCGATCACGACGCCTCGCGAGTCGGCCAAGGCGGCCGTGACGGTGCCGCAGAGCCCGGCGCGACCGCTGCCGGTGCCGACGCCGTCCTCCTCGCGCGGCCCGGCCGCCGCCGCCGCCGGACCGGCCGCCCAGCAGCGGCAGCGCTTCGCCAACAAGACGGCTGTGTCGCGAGTCGGCCAGGGTCCGCCCAAGTCGGCCGGCGGCCTGGCCACCAGCGGTTTCACAGCCAAGGGAGAGTCCGGGTCGGCCGGCCCGGCCAGGCGGGGTTTTAGCGAGTCACAAAATTTCCAGTTGTCTGACGGCCTGGCCTCCGATAGGCTGTCTGTTCTGTCACTGACGGACGATGATGATGACTGCGTGGTCGGTGTGGTGAGCTCGGATACGGGATACAGTAGCGGTGGGACGCCAGCCGGGGACGCTCCGCCGCAGCGGCCAGAGTCCGCGGCAGGGCGGCAGCAGGCGCCGCCGGCCGCAACGAGCTGCGTAAAGGCAGCAACGAGCGTAGCACTGCCCAGCGTAACGGCCGGAGGTGCAGCGACCAAATCAGTGTCTGCATCAGCGCCCCAGCCAGTATCTCCACCGGCCGCAACGCCAACAACATGCACGGCGGCATCTGTGTCGGCACCGGTCTCCCGGCCAGTATCCCTCGCCGTCACTAGGCCGGCAGCGGCAGTGACCACAGCGTCCAGGTCGGCTACCACAGCTGTGTCTTCTGGTAAGGTGGCGGCTTCTGTGTCACCTCCCAGCACGGCATCGGTATCAACAACTTTGTCCCGGTCGGCGCCGTGCCTGGTGTCACCGTCTCAGCCTTCAGTGGCCACGGTGACTGCCTCGGTGTCTAAGAGTGTGCCGCACACGGAGTCAAATCCTGGGCCGGCGCCAGTCCGTGTATCGCCGGCGCCGGTCCGTGAATCGCCGCCGCCGGTCCACACGTCGCCGGCGCCGGTCCGTGTATCGCCGGCTCCGGCCCGTGTATCGCCGGCTCCGGCCCGTGTATCGCCGGCGCTGGCCCATGTATCGCCGGCGCCGGTCCGTGTGACGATGCCGTCGTCCCGCTCTGCGACCCAGAGCCGCGAGCCCTCTGCTGAACAGCCTTCGCGCCCGGCTGAGGAACCCGCGGATGACGACCTGCCCGAGACCATCAGGAAGATCTGGCCTCAGGTGGCCACCCCAACGGAAGCGTACCGGCCGTCTTGGAACGAACCCGCAAAGAAATCGCTAGCCAACGGCAAAACTCCTACTATGCATACCTCCAGCAGTCAAACCTCTAACCTGAACGAAAGTCCTAGTGGGAAAATGAGTGATGCTGCTCAAGTAAATGGCTGTGAGGACGATGAATCGAAGAAAACAACGAAAGCATGTGTGTGCAAGACTCGGACTGATAAGCTATGTCACTGTAAGGGCGATCCGTCTACACCCAGCTGTGGGACCTGTGGTGGTGTGAGGACGGCGCTGTCGAATGGCGGTAGATCCGAGGACAGCGCAGTGGACTCGATGACCGAGCCGACCAGCTCCAGCACAGACGGCTCGGTGGGCGGCGCCGCCGAGCCGAGCCGGTCGGCACCGGAGCAGTCGTACGCCGCCATACACCTGCCGGCGCAGGTGGACAGGCGCGCCGCCCAGCCGCCACAGCCGCCGCAGCCGCCGCCGCTGCGCAGGCACGACTTCACCATAACCAGGAGCCCCCAGTCTGCAGTGGGACGGCCGCGCCTGTCGCGCTCGTCGAGTGCCGGCCGTCCGGCCAGCAGTGCCGGCTGCCCGCCGCGGCCGCGCGCCTCAGCCAGCGCTGACCGTCCGGCGACCAGCGGCGCTCACCAGCGGCCGGCCGGCGGCTCACCTGACCGGGCCGCCGCTGCCCGACCCCGCTCCGCCCCAGTCAGAGGCACCGTGTCGGCACCGACCCTGCCGCGGCGCCAGCCGGCGGCGCAGAGGTCAGTGCATTCCGTTAACCCTTTCATAGCGTTTTCATGTTGAATTACGAGATGCGAGGAAAGGTGCAGTTTCTTTTGGGGGGGGGGGGGCTTTCCATGGTGTGATGATGCACATCCGCAAATGAACCACCATTCGTACTTGGCTAATAATGATTGACAATCTTTAACATATTTTCGGAACGTTTTCCGATAGGAACATTGTACGTTCCATATCTCCTCTGGGTATTTTGAATGGAATAATCTTCTAAACATTCTAGGAAAATGCTGGCGTTTCTCCGTATCACCGAAGGTCGATCCGTGTGACCAGTGGGCTGGGGGGTCGCCGCACGCCCCGGCCTGGGGCGGTTGTGACCGGCCGACCGCTGCATGTCGGCAGGACGGGCCGGCAGACGGCAGTACCGCCGGCCGGCACCAGCCCTCCGCCGCGCCGACGCCGAGCCCGCTCCCAGGATCCGACGCTCACCTTCCAGGAGTGGCTGCAGCAGCACGAGCGGGAGCGGGCCAAGGCCATCCAGGACAGGAAGAACAACGCCAGAAAACGCAAACAGGAGGCCAACATCAAACAGGTGCTTGTCTTCGTTAACTCATTCTACGTAGGCCCTCAGCCTTCGTGCTTAGCACTCGGACCTCCGTCAGTTTTGCAAACCACGCATTAAAATACTTTCTTCGCCAGTAATAAACGTCTTTATAGAATGATTCATGCATATTTCCATACACGCGAACTGTATTTGTCAATGTCTGCTCTAATTTTGATGCCTTGCTGGGTTTGTGTGTACAGGAGAAGGCACCGCAGGCGTTCCGCGTGTGGCTGCGTAAGAAGCGCCAGCAGCAGCTGATGGAGCAGCGCGTGCAGCAGCTGCGGCAGCACGAGATGCTGGCGGCGGCCGCCGCGGCGCCTCCGGGCCGCCACCAGCAGGACGCGTTCCGACAGTGGCTGGCTCGCAAACAGCGCGAGCGGCTGGCGGCGGGCCTGGGCCCGTCGCAGGCCACTCTGCGCTCCCTGTCGGCCCTGTACCGGGTGGGCCGCCCGCGCCCGCCCAGCGGCGCCCGGCCTCCGACCGCCCCCGCTGTCGCCGGCGACCGAGCCACGCCGCACACTCACCTACAGCACATCTACGGGCCGAGTGAGTGAGCCGACTACCTGCGCGGCCTGTCGGCGGCGTTGTAAATTGCACCACGGCGCGCCACCCATCCCCAAACGTAAAAAAATGTCCCGAACTCCCAGACGAATATCATTAGATGGTGCCCTATCCCGTTGTCACCTTTTCCAACACTCACGGTCTTCTTAGCTCGATACACTTATGTCGCGTATGTCTTGAACGTGCATTTATTTGAAAACGGTCGTAAATGACGTCCTCTGAGCGGAGTGTGACTAAGCTTTTCCCAATGGCAGGTTGTTGAGTTGGGTGGTGGTGGTGCATGTTGAGTGGTGAAGGCCGATATCGGTGCCGTTCTCTGACCGAACTGGGTCCGTTTTTCGGCAGACGTGGGGCGCGGCCACCGGTGCCGGCCGGCCTGTCTGCCCGGCACCTGAGGGCCGGCTGTGCTGCCGGCTGTGATCCTACCACCACGCGGCACCGCGCCTCTGGCTGCCCGCGCTGCCCCGACCGTGACCCATCTCTCGGACCCGGAGCACCCGCCGTCCAACGGTAAACCTATCCACCCGCGGCGGAACGAACCTGGCCGTGCCCGCCGCCGAGCGGTGCGCTGGGGAACAGACACAGCGGCTCTGTGTGACCACACGAATCGTGCAATCAAATACACCGGAGTGAACGATACCCGAAAAAGCTTTACAGAAACCGACTGAAATGCAGAATTAATGGATTGCTTTTGCTTATGAACAATAATCTACACCTTTTTAGGCGCAATTTCAAAAAGTTCAAGACCAAATTCAAAACGTTGACGTGCATTTCGAACCAAAACTTTTTGAATTTGGCCTTTAACTTTTTGAACTTTCGCCTAAAAAGGTGTAGATTGGGTCTATTTTATCAATTATGCCGTTTTGAATGGACGGATTGACACTAAATAGACAACTACGGGGAATCTGGCCTCGACGTCCAATATGGAAATTCCATAGAATCCAAAGTCAAGATTGTTTACCTAAGCCGGACACGCTCAGCTGACTCACTGCGGCTTTTCTAGAAACCGCAAACCCGAATTCGCCCAATTTATCTGGGAGTTTGATGATTTGCCAACTGAACAACGAAATGGACTCATGAAATATATGCGTCATTTCCACATGCTTATTATCTAAATACGTAAGTGCTAGTGTTAAACGGGAAACATGAGAGCAAAATTGGCCGGTATGATCCGTGTATTATGCGTTTCCAAGACGTTGCGGCATAGCTGAAAAACAATGTCATGAACTAGATGGCGACAATCATATTTTAGGGGAACCTAAAGCGGTGTGGACAATGTGTGTTGACAGTGGCCGTCGCTCGGCCTGTCGTTGGCTGGACGGGGGTCCTGGTAAATAGGTGAGACCCCTGCTGACAGAGCCCGAACAGCTCCCGTTCCGACGGTACTGGCATGGCCTCGGTGCCCCGCTGAGACCCACTGATACACCTGCGTGCGTCTCACAATGGATACTGGGCCATCAGACGACTCTCACTCCCCACTCTCGGGCCACGAACACGCAGCTCAGTTCATTGGGATGGGTGGACAATAAGGGATTTCAGGGGGTGCTCAGGCATCCTCTTACAGTGGAAAGACTCAAACAAAAGCAAAACCCTGAATAGTCAGAATATACAATGGCCTAAATGAAACCAATTGACCTAGTAATAAATCATATCCCTGTAGTTTTTACTACCCTATGTCCAACCCGTTAAGGACATGGGCTAGGAGTTAGGCCCGTATCTCTGTTAACCCGCGCCCCGTAGGGCTACCGGCGGACCCTACCACGTTTTTGTGAAGGTCAGGTCAAGGTCAGGTCAAATTAGGTCAAATTTCAAAGTTGATATTTCTGCATAAAATGGGTATCCATTCGATGCAGCTCGTCACGGGGAGTCTAATGGTGGTCTTCGTTTTGCTCTACGAGTTCTAGAATTGCCAAAAATTGAGTTTGAAAATTTGACGTCATCATTTTTGAACAGTTTTTTCGCTATAACTTGGCCAAAAAACGAGTTATCGATCTGAAATTTGGTATGTAGATAGAAGACGGTAGGCACTATCACATATATTCCGGTTTTTTCGAAACTCAAAAAACTTTTTGGATTTTTTGGCGAATATATCCAAAAAAATGCTTTTTTGATTTTGGGGGGTCAAAACTCAAAAATTTCAAAAATTCGAGATAGCAGTTTTGTAGCCCTGTCAATTCTACACCTTTTATGTCCTGATCATTTTCCTGTATCTTCAAAGCTGTAGTCCTGACAGGTCTTCTCGCGAAGGTCTTTTTTCGGTCGAAAATGACAGAACATGACGTCACTCTGACGTCATTTGTGGCCAACCTATCATAGCCTCTGGAAAAAATTTTTGGTCACAATGTGTAAAATTGATGCCCAGAGGGGTCCTGAAAGTTTGGTGGCGATATCTCCAGCCGTTTAGGAGATATCGACCGAAAAGGACAGGGGGGTCCGTTTCGGCCCCCCCCTACGGGGCGCGGGTTTTAAGCCGGGTTCACTTCGGCTTTCCGGCCCGGAAAAAAAAATCCGTCTGCCGGGCCGGTTTCAAAATGTTAAAATTGTCGCTAGAAGTTGAACAAGTATCGACGAGCGAATAAGTGGCATTCGACATATCTTTAAGATGCTGGCAAAAGTTCTTTTGTCTTGCGGTCATTCCCCGTTCTTTGATATTTAAATATTTCATTCAAGAATGAAATATTTTATATAGACGCTCTCTCTCTCTCTAAGAATGGGTCGGAAGAAATGTCACTCGTTTTCCTTTAGTCAGAACGTTTAAAGTTAAGAAGGTATATCGTTCCTAGTCCTACCAACTTTGCTTATCATAGCATCATAACATTTAGAAAATAGAGGAACCGTCCTTTCCTTTTTATTGTTGCGTACTAATAATGTTCTTGCGTGGGTGTTAAGGCCGTGTTACATTGCCGAATTTTGGCCACGATCCTGTCGCCGAATCACGTCGTGTAGGAAATCGGCGAACAGTTCGCCGACAGAGCCCGATTTACAGAAAACGGGTGGGGGGCCCCCCTAATCGTGCGCGGGTCGAAGCTGATCCATGATTCGGCGAACATCGCGAATGAATGGCGAATCTGTTGCGAATAGTCGGCGATACCTTGGCAACAAGTCGGCGCACGCAGCGACATCTCGGCGGCGACTCGGCGACTGTTTGGCGATCATGTTCGTTTATTATAAGTTCGGCGAACGGCCACGAAATTTTCATTTTTCATGAAATATTCGTGGCGGTCGTGACGAACCGTAAAAGTCGCGCGGTGGACAACGACTGGTCTGCGAAATGCCAAGACCGTGGAAGAAAGATCCCGAATCGGTCCGCGACATAGGATGACTTGTATATTCGTGCACATTCGTGTACCAAAATTCGGCAGTGTAACAAGGGCTTTAGCCCCCCCCCCCCGCCCGAAATAGGGTTAAAATGGATCTATGCATTCTTAGCCATGCTTGTTTGACTACATACACGTCCAAGCCCGTGAGGCACGGTCAAATGAAACCACTCTAGTAGTGATTGATGCAGCCAAAAGTACTTACTCAAAACATGCATTCGCACAAAACCATTGCAACCTGACCTGGGCTATCCCTGGTCTCGAGAAACTGCAGTTTTGAAACGATAGTGCCATCGTATTTTGCCATTGTAATGGACTCGGCGCTTGCTCTTTCTTCCAAACTTTTCGGGTCAGCTAGAACCTTACCCCTCCCGCTCTGGTGCTTCTATTTTGTACTGTTTGTATAAGCACATGTTCCGCTGAGTGTGGCTGGACGGACTCGTCCCTACGCGCCGCGCCGCGCTCCGCCGGAGGGGCCGCCGGCGACCGGACGCAGTGAGCGGCACATCCGTCTGCCGCGGCTGACCGGGCCGCCGGCTCTATACTGCCGACAATGGGCCGCACCGCCCGGCTATCTGCGCCGCTTTGGTGGTGAACTCAGGCCGGCATAATGTGCGCCCGGCCATGAATGGAGCCAGCCGTCCGTCCGTCATACAGCGCTTCCTCGCGACAAATCAGCGGCAAACAAACAAAGATGTTGCGAGCCCAATTAGCCGTGAAATGGTGCGTGATGGCTCGGCGCGGCCGACGGGACGGGCCGGACGGCTCGGCCGAGCGGCGGCGGCCAGCCAGCCTGGCTCCCCGCTCCTCCACCGGCCGGCCCGTGGGAACGACATGGCTAATTTGTCACAGGCATGTCACGGCCGGCTGACCCGGAATAACCTTAAACCCACGAGACCGGCCGGAGAAACACGCCGATAACATCAGCCGACAGCGCTTTAGCGTACCGCGGCTTCACTAGCTAAAAAAAGATACCAATTCTGCTTACCACTATAAGTTGTTGAAAACCATATCTATATACATTATCAATGATGACCCTGAAAGTGCAAACCCTTGGTTTTATTTTTATGTTTTCAGCACGGCCGATAAATGTGAAAACAATTTCAACTTAATGTCATTTGTTATGTTCCGAAGGAACTAATATTGTCCATTATGTTGCCTATTTAGAGCCCCATTCCAACATACCCAGATTGCTTTCTTTCTGTCCTTTTCTTTCGTGCTTCTTGTAATTTCATGTGGGATCCAAGTCGTACGTAAACCATATCAACTCTTACCCTGGCTAATGCCATATGCATTTATGAGTAATGCCTTTTTGAACATCAATATTTTGTAAAACATTGTTACGATTTGCTGACAATTTGTTCACTGATGCGCATTGTTGAATAACGCCACCAAATTTGCTGTTGAGTCGCGGCCGGGCGGTTGGATGGGGCGGCATAAGCCGCGATCGGCGGCGGCGGCGTCAGCGTCACAGCACCAATGGTGCCGCCATCATCAGCCGCCGCCTTGCCGCTATTTGCCACCTTACCCCGCCAAACACACAGCTTTATTCCGGCCGGCTATTAGCGGCCTGAATGGGCCTCATTTCATGGGTATCGGACGCGCCGAGCCGCTCAGCGTAATCCGCCGGCGGCCCGCCTGCGATTCCCTATCGCCGCAAACGCGCTCTCGGTCGCCGCCTATTTGTCGGCCTGATCCCGGTAAGAATGTCCGACTTTTGTCGCCGCTAATCCCCATTGTCGGGAAGTCCATTGGGCCTTTGTGGCCGGTTCATATTCGGCCGGTTTCAATGGGTGGCGCGGTGTCGGCGCTCCCCGCGGCGGGCGGACGGCGCCGAGAGGGGAGGGGAGGCGGCCCGCGACCCGCCAACTCGTCTGTCACCGGCCGGCGGCCAAATGGCTGCCTGCAGCTGGGCCCGTCTGCTGCCGGTGACGGCGCCGCAGCTGCTCACCGCGCCATCCAGCCGCCACGTACCGGCCCCCAACATCAGCCGGCAATGACAGACAACGCGCCGAGCAGCGAGCGCAGCCCATGGATCCGGCTAAAAGCATGCACCCACTTGGTGGAGACAAATTGATGAAAATCGTCTTCCGATCAGCGTAATGTTGAAACACCCTACGACCTACGTTCACCCCATGTGTTCATTTGCTAAATGATTCATAAAATATTTTGCTTTTGTAATGATCTTTGAGAAATAACTCGGTGTCAAACCGAGTTAAATGTTACATCAATTCAAGACTTAGAATCCATAGTAGGGTAGACCGGGGCAAGTCGCCCCGCCGAGGTAAAACGCCTCACCGATGTTTCTCGGAACTGGCAAGGTTCTCGGGA